ACTCTGATCTCACTCTGAGCAGGACGCTCTAGATCGCCATCAGAATGTCCAGTTTTATTTCATATTTCAAAAGATGGTTTAGTGTGAGTATTCTGTACACAAATGCAGATGACCTTTCTATGCCATATGAATTTCCAGTTAGTTGTTTGCATGGTAAATAATGACATATTTATATTTCCATTTGAAGGTTTCCCAAATGTGGGCAAAAGCAGCATAATCAATAGTTTAAAACAAGCATATGTGTGTCATACTGGACCAGCCATGGGTCTTACAAGGTAAGTGTCTGAAAAGGGTGAGAGATCTTGGGGATATTCCATGGAGAAAGTTGTAACTTTTTTGGTGTGTCCTTTTAAACTGGACATGATTAAGGAGGTCTCAATATTTTATTCCTTTTTAAGGGTTTCAGTTAAAGGGAGATTTCATCTATCACAGCTTTGGTAGAACTTGTACTCATTTACCAGTTTTTCTAGTTACATGAACACCAGAAGACGTTATGTTATCCCTATATATGAGATTCATTTTCTGTGTGAAAATACTTAGGGTTTCAAATGTCATCCATACATGAAGCATATGATGACAGACTGGATCTGATGATCTGTGTTGAATTTATTCAATCCAACCCTGAGCTTCATGTTTGCTTAGGTTCTCTTTCTCTCTCTTCATTCTTTAAAGATTTTTTAAGTTTTTGCCTACTGATTTTTTCTTCTTTAGATACATGCAGATTGTCCACATTGACAAGAATATCACGATGTTAGATAGTCCGAGTATTATTGCATCTCCTTCTAACTCCGCAGTTGCTCTTGCTTTGAGAAGTCCCACAAATATTGAAAAAAGAGAACTATTAGATTCAGTAACTACAATTGTGGAACACTGCGATAAACAGCAGGTAATACAGTCTTTTTCAATTTTAATTGTGTCCTCATGAGTCTGCTTTTATTCAGAGTTCTTGAAGGCCATTCTATAGTGATATAATGCAGTCTCATAGCCAGAGATAAATGTTCTTGGAATCACTTGATTGAAGACATTGGGTTGTTTACTAGATGAGGATTTATTCAGTAATTTTGTTGTTGAGGGTTTTTTTCCCATCACTGAAAAGGCTCTGAGTCTTCATTTTTAAGGAAATGGAAAACAGGACTGTTTGACAGTCCTGTGTAACCAGATAGTGCAGTTCCTACTGAGTCATTTCCTGAATACCTGCATATCTAATGATATTGTACTTAGTTGGTTTTAACAACATTGCCTCCTTAAAACTCTTGACAAAACCTATGCTGAGCCAGATGAAGATGACTTATTTTCTTGTTTCAGCTAATGTTACGATACAACATCCCAAGCTATAGAGAGTCTCAAGAATTCTTGACCGTGCTAGCACAGAAGAGAGGGATGGTGCGGAAAGGCGGTCTGCCCAAAGTGGAGGAGGCTGCTAAATTGTTCTGGTCTCATTGGACAGGGTAAAGACTTTATTCCAGCTATTGAAAACTTTTTTTTAGTGTTGTATTGGATTAGCTATTAATTTTTATCTTTTCTTTCTTTCTTCTTTTTTTTTTTAATACTAGCCCCAAAATGAGTTACTATTGTCAGGTTCCTCCATCATTGACTTTTTCTTCACATCTTACTGAGAGTATTGTAGGAGATATGCAGCAGGGTCTTAATCTAGAGGAGCTAGAAAAAAACAACTTGGGTGCCATTAGAGGTTAGTAAGACCTGTGCTTTCTTGTATTGTTTAGACTTCATGCTAATCTGTTAAAGATTCATTAGATTTCTTTTCCTAGCCATCAGGGGTCCCAGATTGTCAGGTAGCATCCTATTCCAATGCTCTGGCCTGACCAATGGCATAACAGAGGAGAGGGACGTGCCTGAGGAACTGTCGAGACAGGAAGAGAATGAAGACAACGATGAAGAAGAGGAGGAGGAGGATTTTCTATATGAAGAAGATGATGAGGATAGTGATGATGAAAATGTTGATGTAAGATTGGTTTTAGAAATCTTTTGAGTTTTAAGCAACCAGTAGAAACCTCCTCAGTATTTCAAAGACCCTTCAGTGTTACCTTTGAAATTATGATTCCAAAGAAAAGGGAATCTAGCTTTGTTATATATCTTGCATGGAATGAGGGGAGATGCATGAAAGATATTGTAGCTGTGGGCAATGATTTGTCTTTGCCAGTTATTCACTGGGACACCCTAATAAGAGCCCTTGGTCCCATTCCATTTGCAAAATGAGGAAACTAGATAATAGAATATCAAAAGAAGCTATCTAGTTTAGGAGTTTTTAACCTAGGGGCTTTGGATACATCTCAGGGCATCCATGAACTTGGATGGAAAGAGAAATTGCATTATTTTTATTAATCTCTAACTGAAATTGAGCATTTCGTGAAATTAATAAGCATAGGTAACAAAGGTATTCTGAAAGGGGGTTCTTAACCTTCATCAGACTGCCAAAGTGATCAGACACAAAAGTGTCCAAAACTTCTGGTTTTTAGTTTAACATCATTATAATACATTAAGAGATCATTATATCGTTACTTGAAGAGCTCCAGATCCACCCCCTCAATACTTTTTCAAGGCAGCCTGTGCTGTGTTGGAGATCTTCCTTCTGTTTCTCCCATTCTTTTGAAGATGGCTGTTGGGTGCTCCTTAGGCAAGCCTTCACTTTCTCAAACCAAGTCTTTCCAGTTCCTAAAGCCTTGACCTCTAGGTCTGTCCCTTTTCTGGTTGGTCTCTTACTGTCAGCGCTTTCCTAAGACATGACACCTAGAAGCAAATGTAACGCTGGAGAGGTGGGAGGACTGCCACCAGCCAGGCTGTCACCTTTTTTAACCATACGCTGTTGCTCTTGAAGCAGCTAAGTTGGCATTTACTTTGGGGGCAGTTTTACCACTCTGTTGGATTCATTGAGTTTGGAGGCTACTAGATCTTTTTGTTGAGTTGATTTTTATCAAAGTGAATTCTTATCTAACATGTTGAACTGTCCCAGATTTGGCTCATCTGCAGTTTAGATAACCAGGTCGTAAATTTTAAAAGTGCTGAATAGCACAGGACCAAGTAAAGCTTCATGGGGCACCTCACTAGATACCTTCCAAGATAACTGAATCTTGAGTGATTACTACATTTCCAAATCCACCTAAATATCCTATCATCTAACCCACATTCACTATCTTGTCCCAAGATGTTAGCTATTTCACAAAAATAGCATGAAAATCTTTTAAATACCTTGTTAAAAATCTGGGTACACTAGAAGTATTGCCTTGATCCATCAGTCTGATTATCCTTAATCCTGTCAAAAAAAGTAAATGAAGTTAGACCAACATTATGTATTGCACGAAGTAAGCCGTTGGTAGCTCACCCTCACTTCTGATAATGCATTCTAGAATTTTGGTAGGCATCCAAGGCCTATAATTCGTGCTTGTTCTCAGTAGCAACTCCTTTTAATGTTTTTTGCCTTATATTTTGTAGTCTAAAGGGTCTCAGAGAAAACAAGCATGTTAAGAGCAATCTTAAATCTCCATTGTCCCTTATTTAAAAGTTTTTCTTTTGTCTTGTACTTCACTCAATAGCCTTAGCTCCTTCTGAGAACCCTTCTTACCCAAAATTTAGGTGAGACAATAGGCTGTGACTGTCTTTCATTTTCTGTCACAAGTCCCAGGCTTCTCTCATGTCCACCCCCAAAATAGGTTGTTCTTGCTCATGAGAATTGGGTTGAAAATAGAAATTTCCACTTGTTTCCTCCACCTAACCTTTCAAATTGTGGAAATTAGGGAGACAGATAAAATAATTGCTAGCTGTTCTACTTTAGGTAGAAAAATAGCTCTAGGTGATATCCAGATAATTTGATCTGTTCCGTAAACTTTTCTCTTCATCTGCTTGGTCTGTGGTATAAACTCTTGTGACAATATCCCTTCTGTCTTTGGTAATCCTCACTCAAACAATCTCCATCATACTTCTCTCTGGTCCCTCATGTGAGTATATCATTTTAACCTTTTGAATAAAGTGCCTTTTGAATAGAGTCATTCGGGGTTGGGGGAGTGTCTCATCCCATGTTTCAGTGATACTTTATGGGATAAATTTGGTATGCTTTCCTTACATTAGGATCTCTAGTTTATCTTGTGCATATTTGTGTCAGATGGTCATGGGCTTTATTGCTTTAATGAAATTAATCTTTAGTGCTTGGGGGCTGGGGTGGGGAGGTGTCTCCTGTTAACTAAATTGTAGCTTTTTTTTTTTTAAACGGTATCTACCTCACTAGATTTTCTTGTCAGTGCTTCATCCCTTCCTAGAACTCATTTCTATGTTTTCATAATCACAAGGTCCACTGAGAGGAATCAACTGACCCTTTAATGTTTCCTCACAGGAAAGAAGCAGGGTAGGGACCAAAAGACTTAAAGTTGAAGAAGAGCTCCAGCCAGGTATGTTGAGAGCTAATGGATCCTACTGTTTGGAATATCGGGATTTGGTAGACATTTTCACCATGCTGCTTTCTCTCTTTATAAAGGTAAAGAGTTTGGTGCTGGAGCAGAAGAAAAGTCTTTTCATGTGGATAAGATGGTAGAGGAAGACGATGACACTTACAGTTTTAATACAGATTATGTGGAATGAAACTTAGTCCCTTATGAGCTTACTGAATTGCTATTAACTTGATTGCTGAGTTATCTTGATACAAGATATTATGTATATACTGCAACAAAAATGGTTATGGTGTGAGAAACACGTACAGTAATTATTACATGTAAATATGTAAAACTTGGACAAATGGGTAGCAGATAGGACATCTGGTTTTTGGTTTTTTTATGCTAAAGTGAACTGTTTGAACTGATGAAAGACTTGTCATAAAATGTCACCATTGATTTATTTCTGTTATTTGTGCTTCATAATAGCGACCTGAGGCATTATCCCCATTTTACAAATCAAGAAATTGAGGCTCAAGTTAAGTGACTTATCTAGATTAACATAGTGTCATACACACTGATGCTATTTGTTCTAACAGATTCATTCTTAAGGCAAAAGAATAGATAATTAGAAGATGTGTTTCTGAATTTTATTTTTTAGAACAAGATGAAAAACCATCTTTAAATAATGATTTAGTACTGGGGAATTCTAACTATGTCAACAAAACTAGGAGACATATAACTTGTTGAAAGGAACAAGAAACCATAACTAGCGTGTATTCTAAAAACTAAGTTATGAAAGAATGTAAACATGCTTCGAGTGGGTCTCATGCAAAGTAAAGTGTCATATACAAAGCCACAGGTTACAGGAGTAGAACAAAAACAGCATAACTAACTGCAAGATGGCTCATCAGTCTTAGGGAAGGGAAGGTATTCCATTCACTTCTGCAGGACAGATTCTCTCGGTAGTAGCAACAAAAAATTAACTATTAAAATACTTTTTCTCAAGTAAGACAGGTGTAAATTGGTTTTCATATTATAGTTGAGAGAGCTTATGACTTCATAACAGTTGCGTCTAAGTTGGTTTTTCCATGTTGCACACAGAAAAGTTCTCAATATCACATGGAAGACATTTTCCCAACTAGTACTATCCTTTAGTGTTTCCTGAGAAGATACTGGTAGTCCATATTCTACTTTAGTCTGCATTTGCAATTTCTACATGTCTTCGGATTAGGCTGAATTTTCCTGTTGGATCTGGAATATACCATTTTTCCCAAATGTCAGCATAAGAAGCAGTTCTTCCCCATGGTTTAAAGTGTCCGTTCCAGTGGAGTAGTTTGGCAGCCTTCACAAACTGAGGTGAATATCGATTTCCAGCACTAGAGCCTTCCATTAACAAAACAAAACATATATACATATTAACAAGTGAGCTGTTAGTAACTAAAGACATGCTGAAATTTTAAAATCCGATTACTTACCAAGATGTCGGACATTCCACATGGGGTCAATATTTGAATGTTGTTTATAAAATACTATAAGTAGAGGGGGTGTTGTAATGCTGCCTGCTAGTGTTCTACTGTATAATTCTTCTCTGGAGGGACAAACAAAAAGTCATTAAGGTAGTATAAGCCCCAGATGCTGAATTAATTCAAATGCTCACTACAACTTACTGTCTCTATATACTTACTCTACATTAAGTTTCATCCATTTTTCCAGTTGATAAGTAATGTTTTGTTGTTTCCATTCTGTTAAATTTGCGACAAAAACCCCAGGATTAAAAGAGCAGGTGCTAGCTTTCATGGCAAGATTTCGAATCCTTTTTTTCTTATAGTCCAGAAATCCAATATAATTATACTGTGAACAGAATTAAAATGCAGTTTATCTAAACAGAACAATGAACATTTTGTGTTAATCCGACCAAAAAAGGGAACAAAGTGATCAGCATAATCAACAGCTACATTGTTGAAATATTGTACAGTCAAGCCTCAAATTAATATGGAAAACATTCCTGAGAATGCATAACATGAAATTCTATAACAAGGGGAAAGAAATGGCCCACTAGGCAATTACTGATGCTCTTAGCCACAAAATACTTAAATGAAAAAGGTAGGAATGAATATGTGGGTGTAGTTTTTGAAGTCTGGAGAGCAGCATAAATGCAAAAAAGGAAACAGAACATTGTGCTTAAGGCTCTGGTGACACTGCCATTTTGTTGACACTGGTCTCAATAATTAAAGCTGTGTCTTCAGTTACTATTTAGCTTACATTCTGATGGGTGATTCACCTGATTCCCTGCTCCATGGACAATAACTTTCGCAGAAGTTGAATCACAGTCTTCTGAAAAAGCAGCTGCATGCCCAGGCTTCAAAGGTGTATTATAAAGGGCACGAATATCACCTGGAAGAGTAAAAAGATGCCTCAAGAGAGGCCCTGAATGCACCAAGTTTTCAATGAAAATGACTCATTTCCACTCATAGTTAAATGTCCTAACAAATTTAAAATTAAATCTGAGACAAGTTCAGTTAGCTGGATTAAAGGGGTTGAGAGCATGACAGGGAAAAAGGTACCTTGTACTATTACATCATCATCCACATATATTGCCTTTTCTGCATTTGGAACCAAGTTAGGTAGGTAGAATCTTGCAAAGGTTAACTGTTAAAAGAAGAAACGTACACAGCTTGTAAACACATTAATATAGCACTTTAAAGATGGAATGCTAGTTTTCTAGGGCTAAACAAACACATTTAAAGGATAAGGGCTGGTCCCAGGAAGCTGCCCGTGTCACAGTCATGACAAGCTTTTTATTTATATGTATGTGTGTGTATATACACACATGAAAAGCTCCAAGCACCCCACAAGTTGTTACTGTGTACCAGCTTCAGGCCTCTCCTAGACACAAATGATGGATAGTACTCACTGGCTTCACGGAGTCCACCTGTTTAGGATCCACCTTTACTTTCCCTTCCAAAAGTTGAGGGTCAAAATCCACAATTTTGTATTTGATGTTTTTCAGAGAGCCACTATTGAGCCAGGATCTGACCATGGTAAAGCACCAAATGTCATGTCAGTCTTAGTATGTACATGATCATGTTTCAATAAAAATAAGACAAATGTGTCCTGTTCTTTAGCAACAGTACCAAGCATTTCAGAGTGCTTCTAATGGGCCTGTGCAGGGGACAGAGTATCCTACCTACCTACGTACAGTCTAGAGCCCTGAAAAAGTGCCGGGGGTTCCCATGTAGGAAGTATTTTTAATAGGAAGGGAGGCATTGTGGTAAAAGGGAAAGAGCACTGATTTCTTGAGTCAGGACCCAAGGTCAAATCCCATCTCTGATCCTTACTACCTTTGTGTGACCTGGGGCAACACCTCCATAGGTCTCACTTTTCTGTAAAGTGAAGGAACCCTAGATGGCCCCTGGGGACCCTTCCATGATGCCATAAATCTGGGATTCAGCTACTGAATTTTACTAGAACCAATGCCATGCTACAAAATGCTGATTCTTCCAGTAAACACATATGCAAGTCTCTGAGTCTAAAAATGGACAAACCCCAAGGGGAAATTGTAGTCAGCAAACTTGGACCCGAGCCAAGGACACACTGGAGTTGAAAAAATAGGGTTCCTCTAGTCCCACTCTTACTGACTTCCCAAGTGAATTTGGTCAAGTATATTCCCCTCTCTAGGTCTCACTTTCCTCTAAGATGAGCTCAGCTTTTATCTGAAAATGAATAAAGAGCTTGAGAGAGGGTGTGTTTACTAAATTCGTGGCACATAAATGTAATGGACCGTTACTATGAGAAAAAGCAAATATGTGAATGCAGAGAGGCATGTTAAGACATACATAAAGTAAATAAAAATTTAAAAACAACATAGACAATGCCTAAAACAATGTAAGTGGAAAGAATAAAACAATAAATGTAAAACTGTAGAGAACCAATTTGGTCCCAAAGAAGAGCTACAAGATGCCTCTTCCTACCTTTGCAGAGATGGCATGGGGCAGGGAGTAGTGGTCTCATAGGTATGGAACATTACATGTGACAAATTTTTTCTGTGTATTGATCAGTTATTTTTAATGTAAGGAGTGGCTCTGAGAGAGGAAATGGTACAGAGAAATTGAGGTAATGTAAAACCAGAGTAAAAATCTATTAAAATCTTGGGGTGGGGGCAGAAAGGAAATAGATCAAATCAATCAATAGTTAACACTGATTAATTTCTTCCTCTTTATATCCAACACACTGCCTCCTAAATATGCCCAGGAAAAAGTGAGTTCAAAAGCATCTACAGTCACCAAAGATACAAGTATCTTCCTACATTTATGATTAGTTTACAGCATACTTTGTGTTCTCAGTACATGCCATTTTAATAGTTTTAAAGCTGTATTTGTTCCTGGGCTGGGTGGGGGGCCGCAGGGATAGGAATGAAAGACCCTCCAAAGATCACTGTAAAGAGTGCCTATGATACCATGTTGAGAGTGGAGGGTGAGAAACCTGCTACCAGGCTAGCTGTGTCACTATGGGTAAGTCAGGTATCAGCTTCCATTTCCTTATTTCATAATGTATCCTAGCACTGTGTGATATTTACAGTGTTATGGTGAAAAGAGCTAGAAAAAGGTACATTTAGAGAGTAAAAGAGTGAAACATTTTCCAACTCAGATGAGCTTTTAGTTTTTTCTTTACTAAAAGTTTTTCTTTAGGAGAAAGCTCTTGTCATTTAGGACTCAGCCTCAGCTAGAGACTCTAATGTTTTATGTCTGCATATGTTGCATTAGGTGACGTGGCCTTGCAGGTTTTCCCAATTCCTCTTCTGCAGCATGGTATTAAGAACTGAGATAGGAACTTACCTAAGATGGTCTGCAGTATCATTCAAAGTAACAATGTAGAAAACCACATTGGAGTGGGTATTATGGTAAATACTATTCATCACTGCAATTGTGCCCCCAAGTCTGTCTTCAGATGCTGCAATGACTACAGGAATCTCCTCTTCACTCCTATAGATCAAGCTTTCAGGAGCATTAGGCACAAAGGCTAATGGCTGAAATCCCACAAGATTTGGATCTGTAGAGGGCAGAAAGACAAGGGTAAAGGGAAGCAAGTTTGGTCAATACCACTAGACACAAAACCCAAGAAATGGAGAGGTGTGGAAGTCAGGGAACAAGAATGGTAAAATGCCATAAATCCTTTCTGCAAATTGCTACAGTAGTCTTGTTTCACTTACTTATGTATTTTTGGCTCTGGCTTTCTATTCTAAAGCACTAATTATCCAAGCCTAACTGGCTTGTTTAAGCTAATCGAGATTGTGCTGGAGGGGGTGGGGTGGGGGTCTTTATGCTGTATGCCAATGTTGGAAATTAACTTGAGAAACAATCCTGTGCTTATTAGTTAAGAGATGCAAAGCACTTTCCTCACAATGAGATAGGTAACATCTTCATTTTAAAGATAAGCAAACCAAAGCTGTGAACAGTGCAAGAGCACCCCTCTCCTTTTCCAAAGTCTGTAAGATCTACAATCACAAGTTTCCTCTTCCTTTCCCCTCCCTCTCTCCTGTAGAAGTAACTTGGCATGTAGTAAGTAAAAGACTACAGAACTATATTTACCATCTTTTAACCATCATGTCAATGGAGGAGAATGGCAATCTGAGTTGTGATTTACTTTATAAGACCAATAAGGTCACTGTACCTGAGACCTCCCTTTTCAACAAATCACTCAGACCAAGGAAATTATGATGCAAAACTAGTAAAAAGAGAGCAACAGCGAGGACTAGGATGATGATGTTCACTAAAACAAAAAAAAAAAAGAAAAAAGTTAAATGTCTTCGTTATTTAACCAATTTCAAAAAGCTACAACTTGGAGAAATCACATACCTTTGCGGAATGACATTTTTCCTTTCAAGCTTAAAAGAATGTCACTTAATAAGCCTGCAAGAGAAAACATTAGAATTACTGTGTGCACCTAGCCCTAATGGTTAAATTTTCTGGTGGCATTTCCATGAAGTTCAGCAGTAAAAATCCCAACCCATGATATTTCTATAAGTGGTCTAATGTCCAAGTATAAGCTTGAAGTGCTGCGCCAACAGTAAAGTCAACCAAAAAATAAAAGCAGGTTCAATATCAAGCAATTCACAACATTCTTTGGTGCTATATTACATTAACTTTAAAATTCCAAGTCCCCTACTTTATAGTGATGCTGAAGCACAATTCTGTTATATGTCAACCTTCAGGAAACTTTCACCCAACTAAATACCAGCTGCTATGCCAGTAATTATGGTCTAGGCTTTGTTAGAGTGATAAAAAAAAAATCCCACCATCAAAGGAAAGGAGAAAACTCAAAAATCAAACAAAACAATTATGAAGGGAATAGGAGAAAGTGAAGTAGAGGTGGAGGAAAGCAAATTCAAAAAAAGTCCAGGTGCTGATATACCTAGATTCACAAAGTACAATACCTCTTCCTTATGATCCGATGAATTATGTTGCTGTATGACACTGGTGGAACCAGCTTATATGTGGCAGAAGATGGAGTTTCTGGTTTGTGTATTTTTTGCTTTTATGCACAGGATTGCGATCAATATTGAGTATCTGCTAAGTACCTGCTTTATGCCAGGTTCTGCTAGAGATATGAACATGAACAACATTGTACATTCATGGAGCTCATAACTTAGACTAGTTGGGGAGTTAAGACTTGCTCACAAACAACAAGGGCAATAAATGATAAACACAAGAATATAAGCAAAATACTCTGGGAGTGAAGAGATAGCTTATCCCTTACCAAGCAATTAGAAAATCTTGGGGTATTTTTCTTCCTATCTTACTGTTCCTGCTCAGTATCTTTTCTACTATCTCATATACATGGAGGTACCCCAAGGCTCCACCCTGCGTACTCTCTTCTATCTATACGCATGATTTCATCAGCTCCTATATATTCAACTCTCATTTTATGCAGATGATTCCCAAATCTACACATCCAACCCACTTCTCACTCCTAAGCTCCAATCCCACATCTCCAACTACTTGCTGGACATTTTCCACCTGAATGTTTCTTAGGTATCTCAAACTCAACATACACAAAGCCAGTCAGTCAGCCAAGAACTTTTATTATATACCTACTATGTGCCAGGCACTGTGATAAGCACTGGGGATACAAAACAACAAGAAGAAAAACCAAAAGACAGTTCTTGCTCTTGAGGAGCTCACAATCTAATGGGGGAGACAACATATAAACAACTATGCACAAACAAGCTATAGGCAGGATAAGTTGGCAATAATAAATGGGGAAGGCACTAGAATTAAGAGGGATGAGAAAGGATTCCTGTAGAAGTGGGATTTTAGCTGGGACCTGAAAAAGCTAGGAGGTGGAGAGAAGAATGGAAAGAATACTCCAGGCATGAGAAACAGCCAGTGAAAATGCCTGGAGTCCAGAGATGGAACGTTTCATTCAGAAACAAGACCAGTATCACTGGATCATGGCAGAAAGGTATAAGAATACTGGAAAGCTAAGGGTCAGGTGGGGTGAGAAGGTAGGTTATGCAGGCCTTTGAAGGCCAAACAGGTTATTTGATCCTGGAGGTAACAAGGAGTTTTGGGTGTTTACTGAGTAGAGGTATGATTGGGTCACATCTGTACTTTAGGAAGATTACTCTGACAGTTGAGTAAAAGATGGATTGTAGTAGGAAAGACTTGTGGCAGACAGCCCAACCAGCAGGCTACTGCAATTGTCAGGCATAAGGTGCCAAGGGCCTGCACCAGAGTGGTGGCAGTGTCAGGGGAAAGGAGAGAGCACATGGGAGAAATATCATGAAGGTAAAACAGACAGGCTTTGGAGAGTAAGAGACAGTGAGAAGTCAAGGATGACACCTAGGTTGTGAGCCTGAATAACTGGGAGGATGGTGGTATCCTTGACAGTAACAGAAAAGGTTGGAAGGAAAGGGTTTTGGACTTGGTGAGTTTAAGATTTCTATAGGATATACAGTTTGATATGTTCAAAAGGCAGAAGAAGATGTGATACTAGAGGTCAGCAGAAAGGTTAGGCCTAGATAAGTAAAACTAACAATCATCAGCAGATTCCATGGGAGTAGATGAGATCACTAAATTGAAATAGCATAGAAGGAGATGAAAGCCCAGACAGAACCCCATGGGATAGCCATAGTTATTGGGCATGACCTGAAGTAACGGAAATCTGAGAAGGTACAGTCAGACAGGAGAACCAGGAGACAGTACTGCCATGAAAACATAGAGAGAATATTGTATCAAGGAGAAGAAGGTAATGGACAGTGTCAAAAGCTAAAGAGAGGTCAGGAAAGATGAGTAGTAAGAAAAAGACAAACTCATTATCTTTCCCCTTAAACCCTTCCTTCGTAACTTCTCATAACCATTGCCAGTCACCCAAGTTTATAACTTGACCCTTTAAGTCTTATACTCCACACAGCCAATCAGTTTCCAAGATTTGTTGATTTGATCTCCTTAACATCTCTCACCTCCAACCCTTTGTCTACTCACATCAGAATACCTGGACTATTGCAACAGACCCCTAATTGGTTTCCTTGTATCCTGTCTCTTCCCTCTCCAATTTATCACATACACAGCTGCCAAACTGATATTTCTAAAGCATAAGTTGGATAACACCATTCCCCTGCTGAAGAAACTTCAGTAACTCCCACTGCTTCTAAGATAAAAGACAAACTCCTTTGGTATGGTGTTCCTTCAGTTTGCTTCCAGTCTATGTCTCTAATCTGTTAAAAATTATTCTCCCTCAAACTACATTCCAATTGGCCCACTTGATGCTCCTTGTATACCGTGTCTCTGAGTCTTTGCATGTCTGCCCTTCATGCCTGGAATGCTCTCCCCTCCCATCTCTAGTGCCTGAAAACCCTAGCTGCTCTCGAGGCTCAACTCAGGTGCCACCTCATCCAAAAGGCCTTCCCTCTTTCATCACTCTCCCTCTTTCTCTCTCCACACACACACACACACACACACACACACACACACACACACACACACACACACACACACAATTTTATTGTATTTTATTTTCAGTTCCAGGTTCTCTCCCTTCTCCAACCCCCTTCTCCATCCCACTAAGAAGGCAAGAAATGCAAAACCCATTACAAATAAGAAGTCATGCAGAACTAATTTCTGGGGAAAGAAAAAGAAAGAAAAAAATGCTTCAATCTGTACTCTGAGTTCATCAGTTTTCTCTCTGGAGGTGGATAGCATGTTTTATCCTAAGTCCTTTGGAACTGCAGTGGGTCATTCTGTTGATGTTACTAAGTCTTTCACAAATGATTGTCTTCACAGTATTACTATTACCATGTAGATGTTCTTTTGGTTCTGTTCACTTCAACTTTGCATCAGTTCATACAAGTCTTCCCAGGTTTCTCAGAAATCATCCCCTTCATCACCTCTTACAGCATGATACTAATGCCTCACATTCATACGCCGTAATTTATTCTGTCATTCCCCAATTGATGGGCATGCTTTTAGTTTCCAATTCTTTGCCACTACACACACAAAAAGTTGCTATAATTTTTTCTTATGCATGTGTCCTTTTTCTCTTTGCTCTTTTTTGGGGTATAGACCTAGTAATGGTAGCCTATGTTAAAGAGTATGCACAAATTAATAGCATTTGGGGTATATTTCCAAAATGCTTTCCAGAATGGTTGGACTAGTTCATAGTTCCATCTGCATTAATGTACCTATTTTCCTATTACCCCCTCAAACATTTGGCATTTTCCTTTTCTTTCATCTTAGCCAATCTAATGGGTTACAGGTGTTACTTCAGAATTGTTTTAATTTACATTTATTTTTTAGTGATTTAGAACACTTTTTTCATGAGCATTGATAAATTTGATTTCTTTTTCTGAAAACTGCCTGTTCACATCCTTTGACCATTACTTTGTACTTATTTTGTGCATATCCTGTTGTTCACTTATATGTGAAAATATTGCATTTTTCAGAAGTATGTAAGTTTGTTGAGAACTATATCAATTGGTCCACAGCATGTGCATAATAAATGCTTGAAGAAATGTATTTAATTAGATGAATGACCTAGTTGTAAATATACTTACAAACTTACAAAAATAGGCACTGGTAACATGTCCATATATTGAAAGAGAGGCCAGGTGCAAGCCTGAGAATAGAGAATGAAAAGGCCAGAAGGCAGAAATATACCCAACAGTGAGAATGATTTTTGAATACAAGAAGGCCTAACCAATCAGGTGAAAAGGTGCCTCTTTCTGTTATAAACTTGAATCACAGGAACAAGGAATTTAACCCTGCCTATCAAAAATTGATGTAGTTGTGTGTAATAACTTAGGATAGGCAATAATTTTGGGATGGTTTGATTCTGTGACAGCAATGATCATGCAGGTGTGCTTCTATTGACATAAGGCTTACTCAAACTGCTCTACTTTAACCACTTGAAATCAAATTGATCTTGTTACCTAATCTTTCATTGACTTTCTATCAGTTGGGTGATGGACTTCATGCTATAAACGTCTGTTTTCACTGATCTCTTTCATTGTGGTTTTAATTCTATGGTTTTAAAGAATGGATATATTGGTTCTAATTCTTCCTTACAACATGACTAATGTGAAAATATGTTTAATAGGAATGTATGTGTAGAGCCTATATCAGATTGCATGCTGTCTTGGGGAGGGAGGCAGTGACGAAGGGGGAAAAAATTTAAAACTCAAAAGCTTAAAGAAGTGATTGTTGAAAACTAAAAATAAACAAATTAATAAAAAAATAAAGAATGGATATCAATCCACCACAGAAACATGTGAAAATTGTAGTTATTAAAGGGTACACTTCAATAACTATTAGAGATATTACAGAAAAAAAAGCTGGTGTGGAGAAATGAAGCCTTTCAGGTATCATTCAAAACCATAAGGAAACATGATTAGTTACATGGAAGCACAAAAAAAAAGTGTAGTAGAAAATGAAAAACACCAGAAGGTGACAAACTATTGATGGAAAACAGTAATTCACCCTTAGAAAGCAAACAAATACCTTCAGAGGGACTTGGCAGCTAAAGGGATTTGTTACTAATCCCTCTCTGGGTGGCACATAATTCTTGGTTGGAAGAACAACCTATAAAATAGCCACTATCACTATGAAGCAAAAATGCTTGTCATGAGCAAAACAATACAAAAACTGTATTGGAGTACCTAAGATTTGACAAAGGTAATTTTTACTGATGAAACTCACTTTTCACTCAGGATTATACCAAAATCATTGTCAGAAGTGCAGGTGAGCCTGTAAGATCTGGGCATCTTTATGAGACTAAAACATCCTCCCCCAAAAATGTTCTGGAGATTTTTCATTTTCAGTGGGCCTGGAAGTCTTTTCCCCATTGAAATAATGATGAACTCTGATAAACATAAAGGTGTACTAAGAAGCAGAACTGTTCCAAAATTACAGAAGTCCCCACAAGGAATATGGAAACAGATGCTACACGTTGCGAAAGGTTAAGAAATTTATCTGAGATGGAGATAAATATGTTTCTTTGGCTTGGGAAATCCAGATTTAAACCCCAGTGAAAATGAGAGAAACTTGACAAAAAATGTATTGTTCATATGTACATGTAATATCTAACGTGATGAAAGTATATTTTTATGATGAAGAAAGTAATAATTTCTCCAACATGCCACTGTGAATCCTCTTAGCTATTAATGTTCTCTCTATATTCAAATTATCTCATATTTACTTATTCGTGTAACTTCCTCAAAAACTTTTTTGTTTTATCTTCCAATCCCTGGCCACTAGTGAAAGACCTTACATGTGGTAGGTACTTACTACCGAATTAATAAATATCCTCTGAAAGTTGCAAACAAAGCATTATTTCCTATATTTTTGGAACTATACCATCTATTTTGGCACACAGAACTGTATATCTTGTTAGCTCATTACTACTCTACCCTTAAAGAGTTACTTTGTGTCATAGGAATTGTATCCCAAAGTACAGAAATATCTTTATCTGTTCCATTGTACAAGAGTAGCATCATTACTAGAAAGAACTGATAGGCCATTACTGTTTAAATGGCTTTGCATAGCAAAAGAAATCTGTTCCTCTTCTGGCTTTTGTTTAGCAATTATTCTTCATCAACAACAACCCATATTTATAGAGCACTTTCCTTCCAACAACCAGGTGAAAATGCAAATGTTATTATGCCTATTGTACAGAAGAGAAAACTGAAGCTTAGAGAACCCAAGTAACTTAGACCAAATCACAAAACCAAATCAAATGGCCTTTTCTCAACCCTCATTCTCTTTGACCTCTCTTCATTCTTTCACAAGGTTGATCACTTTCTTCTGGATATTCTCTTCTCTCTAGGTTTTCAGGTCACTGCTCTCTCCTGGTTCTCCTCCTACCAGTCTGATGGCACCTTCTCTCTCTCCCTTGCTGGATCTTTCTCCAGATCACGCCCTCTAACTGGAGGTGTCCCTCAGGCTTCTAATCTGGGACTTCTCTTCTCCCTCTGTACTACTTCATTTGGTGATCTCATCAGCTTCCATGGATTTAATTACTTTCTCTATGCTGATGATTCTCCAATCTACCTATCCTGCCCAAATTCTCTATTGACCGCCAATCTTGCATCTCCACTGTCTTTCAGACATGTCAAACTGGATGTCTAGTAGATGTCTTAAACTCCATCAGTCTAAAATAAAACTCATCTTTTTTCTAAGCTCTATCCCATTCCCCTCCTACCTCCCCTATTAGTGTAGAGAGCAACATCGTCCTCCCAGTCCCTCAGGCTCACAACCTAGGAGTCATCCTGGATCTCTCACCCCCCATATCTAAACTATTCTCAAGGCCTGCAACATGTCTCAAATATGCCCCCCCTTCTCTCATCTGACACTGAGATCACTCCGGTTGCAAGCCCTTATCATCTCACATCTTGATTACTGTATTGGCCTGTGGATGGGTGTGCTTGTCATATGTCTCTCCCCACACCCATCTATTCTCCCTTCAGTCACTAAAATTACTTTCCTAAAGGGCAGGTATGATCATGTCACTCCCTACTCAATAAACTCCAGTGGCTCCTTATTACCTCCAGGAGCAAATACAAATTGCTCTGTCTGGCATTCAAAATCCTTCCTAATTTAGCCCCTCCTACCCTTTCAGTCTTTTTACACCTTACTCCCTGACACATGAGTGTTTGATCCAGTGACACTGGCCTCATTGTTCCGTGGACAAGACACTTTCTCTCTGAGCCCCAGGCATTTTCTCCAGCTGTCCTCCATATCTAGAACACTCTCCCTCCTCTGTTCTGCCTACTGACCTCCCTGGCTTCCTTTAACTCCCAACTAAAATCCCATCATTTACTGGAAGCCCTCTCTAAGACCTCTTAATTCTAGTGCCTTTGCTCTTTAATTATTTCTTATTATTTCCTATTTCTCCTGTGTGTGTATCCCGTTTAGTATATCATTGTCTGTATGTTGTCTTCTCCATTAGACTGTGAGTAGCTCTCTGAGAGCAGGGACTGTCTTTTGCCTCTTTTTGTATCCCCAGTACTTAACACAATGCCTGGCATGTTTTTTGTGGCTGTTTTTTTTCAGTTGGGTCAAACTCTACGATCCCATCTGGGGTTTTCTTGGCAAAGATACTGGAGTGGTTTGCCATTTCCTTTTCTGTTCACAATGAGGAAAATAAGTGTCTGAGGCCACATTTGAACTCAGGAAGATGAGTCTTCCTGACTCCAGGCCTGGTACTTTATCCACTTTGATACCTCACTGCCCTCTCCTGGCAAGTATTAGGTACTTAATAAATGTTTATTGTTTCCTTCATTCAGTAAACATTTACTGAGTACATATCGTGTGAAATTTGTTACATAATAAAATTCCATTGCTAAGAAAGATATGGCTTTCCAAGAAACTTGAGCAAATCATGATCTTTTTTCCAATTCTACATTTCCAATGAAGCATTATATCCAAAGCATTTAATGAAGCATTACAAATTGCTACTCTGTACATTTAATTTTGGAATATAAGGTAGGATAGACTATGAAAGGCAATTCTATAACAGTCATATTTATATAATGAAGGTCCTTAGAATGTAAGTGGTACAAACACTATTATCCTTCAGTTCAGAAAATGAACTCAAGATACTATTCCAGGGTCATGCAACTGGTAGATGTCAGATGTGGAACTCACCAATATTTTCTTTCACACCATGGTTTCCCCTTCCTTCAACATAGAGATGCCAATAGGGCAAGCTGAAAAAGCTCTTAAAGAAACAATACTGAGGGACCAAATATCATTGTAAATAATTTTTAGCTATACTCAGTGTTTTCAGTGTATACACTATTTACAATGATATTTGGTCCCTCAGTATTGTTTCTTTAAGAACTTTAAGTGACTTACCTGTTTACAGGTAATGGTCCTAAAGGACGAAGAATTCCTGAAGCTGAGAGTCATACAGTTATCTGTAGAAGGCAAAGAAAGAACATTTGACTCTGACAGAACTCATCTGTCTAAGGGCTGGGGCTTCTCTGCTATATGGCAAGAGGATGAAGGTCCTTCTGGAGCTTATCAAGTCTCTTGGGACCCCTGTCCGAGGCTGAGCTCTCGGAGGTCCCGAGGTCCCCATTGTGAGTCTTGCAGAAGCCGGCAATTCACTTCCTTTCTCCAGGCCTTAGTTTCCTCAGCTATACGTTAGGGAGGGGGGCAGGGAGTGGAAGAAGCCTAGAGATCGCTGGTTCCAGCCCTGACATTCTGGGAGTCTGAGCCCGGGGGGGGGGGGGAATCAGTGGGTGGGGAGCCTCTCCAACGCCCAGGACCCTCCTCCTCTGATGGGGGGTGGGAGCCTCCCTCGGGGTGGGGGAGGGGCCTCGAGCCCTCCTTTGGGAATGGGGAGTCGCTGTAGGGTCCGGGGGTGGGGAGGAGCCTCTTCCTGGGGGTTCCTCAGACGCCACGAGTCCTTTGCCCGTGGGTGCCCAGGCGACACGGGGGGCTTCCTGATCCTGCGGAGGGGGCTGTGGCTATACCAGCCTTCTCCCCCTTCCTGGGCTGTCCCAGCCACAGCCCCTCGACCTGGGTCCCAGCGCGACCCAGGGACCGAGGCACACCACCCCACTTCCTCACCTGCGACCTGAGGAGCCTCCCTCCAGTCCGAGCTTGACCCCGCCCCCAGAGCCTGACTCCGCCCCTGCCCGCCCCGCGCGCTCGAAGTCCAGCCCCCGCCACCTCAGCGCCTGCCGACTGCAGCTCGTCGTTCGGAAGGGCTCGGGGCTGTCGTGGATACTGCCTGATAGATAGAGGAAAACGCCTCTCCTAAACCAGAAGGATGGACCCTGGCATCCCTGTCTCTCACTTGTCACATCCCTGGGATCCTTCTCTCACCCCTCGTAGCCACGGCAACTGGGGCTATGGCAGTGAGAGAGCTTCCCGCGCGAGCAGGCAGAGTGTTTTGCTGCCCGCACCACAAGGGGTCCTCGCAGTAGCGAGGAAACTGTTGCCATGGGGACATGACGCGAGCCAGTGGCCGTTGGGCCGCCGAGTAGCTTTCGGGATTGAGTCGGGCGTCCGGGGCTGCAGCACCCCGCTTGGAGTTGGCACTGACGGCGACTCCTCCCCGAGGACGCAATGTCTCCCTCAGGCAAACCCAGCAGCCGCAGTCGCGCCTGGTCCAAGCCAGCCCCGAAGGCACACGTGGCTTAGCGACGGGGCGGGGCAGACCGAGCGGGCCGGCCTGCGTGGCGCGGACATCCGGTTCCGGGATCCGGATCTCTGCGCACCCGGGGCGAGCCGCTCGGCCCTGTCCCCAAAATCCGCTGCCTCCGGTCCTGCCAGGCCTCTCGTCCGGCATCAACCCCGGCCGCTCCCAGTCCAGATCCCCGAAGCGCTCCTCCACGGGGTCCCTGCAGCGCCGCCTGCCCCCGAAAGCAGTCATGTTGGACGGACTGAGCTCCCTGCCCACGCAGATGGTGAGTGTGCCCGGTGCAGCGCTTCCCACCCCGAGCGGAGAGCGAGAGGCGTTTAAAGTGCCAGACTCCGGGCCTGCCCTCGAGCAGCTTACATTCCCTCAGGGACTGGAACGCACGGGTGGTCGCTCCGAGGCCTCCTAAGGTCCCATACATGTTTGGTCTTTTTGGGGGGGAGGGGGAGTGGGCTTTGCACGGCTTGGATCCTTTCCCTCGGTCGTCCCTCTCTTCCCATCACTTAGCCCCCGCCCCTTTCCCCTTCTATCTTCAGGTTCTCTGGGTCTTTCCTCCCTTCCACTATAAAATGCTGTCATCGCATTTTGAACCTCTCTGGGCCACGTACCGTACCTGCTTTTTCCAGTCGGCCAGCCTGGGCATCCTCCAATTTAGGTTTTTGTTCAAGCTCCCAGTTCCTCTACCAACCTCTTCCTCCAACCCAAAATTTCTAATGGTTCCTCGTTTGAATGCAGATCAGCTATATGGCTAATCTGGGGCAAGATCTAAAATGAAAATATCTTGTAGAAGATGAAGGGTCGTTGAAGAAATGGTTGACTTTTCTTTTTCTTTTTAATTCCTGTAGGATTATAAGGGTCAGAAGTTAGCTGAACAGATGTTTCAGGGAATTATTCTTTTTTCTGCAGTAAGTATCTATCTTCATTTGGTTTTGCTTTCCTCAGCTTAGCTTTTCCTAATAAGACCTGTCTCTCTCTTAGGTAATTGGATTTATCTATGGATACGTGGCTGAACAGTTTGGATGGACAGTCTATATTGTTATGGCTGGATTTGCTTTTTCATGCTTGGTAAGAAATACCTCTTTGGATCACGGCTTCTTATAGTAGTTGTTAATTTACTTCTTCTGAATTCTGTAGCCCTGATGGAGGAGTGTGAGATGAAATTTGGTACTGGCTACCTTCAGTATCTCCATTACTGTCATTATAAGATAGTGTAATACGTATTAATCCCTACTTGCTACATAGATGCCGTGCTGTACATGAGAATCAGCAGCAAACCAGATTTAGATCCACTCTAGACGATATTTTTTAAATCATGGACTTGAAAGGATTTCTTGTGCTCTCCCTGCTTTACTTCCCCCCATTCAGGGCACACCATCTCTGGCGTTGGCACAGGCTGTGCCCCCTACTTAGAATGTACTTCTGCTTCACCTAGTTTCCTCACTGGCCCAGCTTAAGTGCCCTCTTTAACATGAGGCCTTTCTAAAGGTTTCTTTCCCTTCAGATTATCTTGAATAAGCTTATCTGTGTATACATTGTTTCCCCTGGATAGATTCTTCACTCCTTGAAGGCAGTAGCTTTTTTCACTTTTGCCTTTGAATAATTATTATTATATAACTGATTTTATTATAATTTTTGTGGTATCTGGCATGTAATCAAACCTTTCTGTACTTTTTGGACAGCAAATGTAGAGGAAACTTTCAAATATTAAAAGACTAATCACCTAAACAAAAACAATTTAACTAGAAAACTGCCTGAGAACACCTTGCAGGCTATTTAGGCATAGGTATGTGTGTATATGCAGTTTAAATGTGACATAGGTAAATGTGCACGTTTTGTGCACATGGAATGGTATAAAATGCTTCCTCTCTTTCCATTTAGAATGTGTATGTATTTCTACAATCAGTCAACAAATATTTATTAAGCACCTGCTGTGTGCCAGACACACAGGTGATGGGGATACAAAGACAGAAATGAGACAGTTCTTATTCTCAAGGTACTCACATCGTACACATGGTGACACACATACATATAAGTATATGTAAAATAAATACAAGGTAATGGTGGCGGGGGAGGAGGGAGGAGTAGCAGCTGGGGAGTTGAGAATCAGGGAATGCTATCGGTATGCGGTTGTATTTGAGCTAGGGAAGTTAGGTAGAGGAGGTAAAGGGGAGTGCATGCCAGGTCTGGAAGGTAGCCTGTATGAGTGCAGAGGTAAGTGGAATATTGTGTGTGGGAAACAGTAAGAAGGCCGGTTTGGTTAGGCTGAAATGTACAGTAAGGGAGATGACGTATAAGGACACTAAAAATGTAGGTTGGAACCAGGTGGTTAAATGCTAAATAGAGGAATTTGTGTTTGATCCTAGAAGGCCTGGGGAACTACCAGAAAGTTCTTGAATAGGGGAATGACACAATTCATGCTGTGCTTTAGGAATATTGTTTTACCATTCCTTTGGGGGCTGGATTAGAATGGGAGAAATGAAGTGAGGAGACCAATTAGCTAGTTATTGCAGTAGGCCAACAAGCTGTTATCAGAGCTGTAACTAGGATTTGAAGAGAAAGAATAGGACCGATAGAAGATGTCACGATGATTTGGTAACTGATTGGATTTGTGGGGTGAGGAGTCAAGGATGATACCAAGGTTGCACACCTGTGTGATAAGGATGATGGTATCCTTAGCAGAGATAGGGGAGTTGTTTTGGGAACCAGTTCAAAATGTCCAGTGTCGGACGGTTGGTGTGAGGATGGAAATAGGGATTGAGATTAGGGCTTAAAACGATACACAGATATGGGAATCATCTGCACAGAGATGATAATTAAACTATGGGAGCTGATTAGGTTTCCAAGTCAAAGAGTATAGAGATTTAAGAAGGCCTAGGACATAGTCTTGAGATATACCCAGTTAGGAATAGGATATGAATAATGTTATGGCAAAGGAATCTGAGAAAGAGTGGTCAGACAGGAGAACCAAGAGAAAATAGTGCCATGAAAACCCAGAGAGGAGAAAGTATGCAAGATGATAAAGTGATCAACAGTGTAAATTAGTCCAGAGAAGTCAAAAAGGAACAAGGATTGAGAAGCAGCTATCAGATCATATTTGGCAAATAAGAGATCACTGATAACCTGGGAAAGAGTATGTTCAGTTGAATGATGAGATTAGAAGCTATGTTGCAAGTTGCTGAGGAGAGAAAATGTGGAAGAAATGAGTATAGACAGCTTTTTTAAAGGAATTTGATTGTGAAAGGAAGGAGAAAAATATAGGACAATAGCTTGGGGGGATGGTAAGGCCTAATGAGGTTTTATTTGTTTTTGTTTTTTGAAAGTATAGGGAGACCTGGGTAGGTTTGTGGGCAACAGGAAAGAAACCAGTAGAGAGGAAGAGATTAAAGATTTGAGAAGATAGTGATTAAGTAGAGGCAAATATGCAGGAGAGGACAGAAGGGACTGGGATCAAACATACAAGTGAAAGGGTTGGCATTGGTGAAAAGAGCCATCTCTTCATCACATACTGGAATAAAGAAAATGGAAGATGTCTGGGAGAGAAGAGAGCTCATAGTGAATGGCTTCTATTTTCTCTGAAAAGTATAAGGCAATGGTTTCTATGAGAACAGTTTGGAACAGCCCCTAGAAGAGGGAGCTACAACAGAAAATCAGTTACCATGATAGTCATGGTCAAGAAAGCATCAAAACAGCTTTCTTCTTATGCCTTATTAAATGAGGTCCACATTCCTGTACCTTTACATTACAACAGGAACTTGGAATCAGTTATAAATTAGTAGAGAAACACTGTAGACCAATGTTTCATGTTATTTTGGACATTTGACTGTTGTATAAGATATACATTTTCTCCTTCCCCTCATCAAGCTGACACTTCCTCCGTGGCCCATATATCGCCGACATCCCCTCAAATGGCTCCCTGTTCAAGACTCAGGCTCAGAAGACAAGAAACCAGGAGAGAAAAAAATAAAAAGGCATCCCAAAAATAACTGAAACACGTCACATACTTCAACCTTACAACACTCATTCTGTTCTTTGTGAAATCTTAATTTGTCATATCCAAACCGCAAAATAAAACTACCTACATTATTATTGCAGAGCTGTGCTTAGAATTTGTTATTTATTGTTTACTAAAAACAATTGGGTTTTGTTCATAAAACATTTTTGGAGACTGGCTCCATAAATTTCCTGTGAAATGAAGGAAAGAAAAGTACTTATATGGAATGTGCCTTGCAAATGTGCAAGTTCTTTGTTTGAAGCCCACTAGTATTTCATAGATTATTGCAATTATGTATTTTATACACTCCCATTTTGAATAATTAAAACAGTTCTGTGCTATGTTTTTTCAATAAAACAAAGCTACTCCAATACTACATTGATTAAAGGGTCTTTTGTGCAGTAAGTAGGCAAGAAGAATAATCAATTTTTATCGCTACTGCTTTTGTGAATGAAAGTAGACCTGTATACTATTTTTGTGGCTGACAGTTCAAAATAAAGCTTTTTTTTTTTGTGAGGCAATTGGGGTTAAGGGACTTGCCCAGAGTCACACAGTGAGTGTTATGTGTTTGAGGCTGGATTTGCACGCAGGTCCTCCTAACTCCCAAGGTCAGTACTCTATCCACTACACTACCTAGCTGCCCTGAAAATAAAGCTTTTTAAATATTTTCTTAACATGTAGCTAGCTCCCCTCCCCTAGAAAGGAGTAAGTGATAGTAACTTTAAATGATCAGCAGTCATTCTCAGTAACACACTAATTATTCGGAGCATTAACTAAGTGGTATTCTGGGATCTGTGACTTACTAAAATACATATATATATTTAGTACATTTCTACCTGCTAATTATCCAATACCGCTGACATATAGAAGGTACATCATCCATGCTTTCTTTCTGAAGTGAGCTAGAGAAACTAGAAAGCTTATTCCAGGGAGCAGGAGGAGGGAGATGGATGGCATGGAGTCTAAAATGTAACAAGGCATGGACAGTTAAAAATAGACATCTACAGTTAAACTTCATTTTAAGAATGAGCTAATAGTTAGGAAAGTAGAAATAATTTTTATTTTTATATTATGATAGAAGTATTTGAACTAAACCTAACAAAACCTATTCAGTTTTTCAGCCTTAGCAACATCTGGTTTTAAAGTAATAAGCTAAGAACAGGAATGTTTACAAGTCACAGAAACAATTCAGGTGATCAGCTTTAGGTCATCTTACTGGCCCTGGACTAAGGAGCCTTTTAATACAATACAAAAAGGATAATGGTAAGCTGGAGAGTTATCAGAATGGTGAATTATCTGTACACAACTTCACTTTTTTTTGCATTAAGTACCTATGTGCAAAGTAATGCTTTAGATGTTGGGGAAGATAATGCAGTGTGTCAGAATTAAGGATGTTTACTCTGAAGAAAAGTCCTGGAGGAAGACATCGTTGTCTTCATGTATCCTGCGGATTGTGGGAGAGAGAATAGTAGTCTATATAGTTGCCAAAGATAGACTGAGAACCATTGGATAGATGTTATAGGTAGGCAAATGTCATTTCCATATAGGAAAACTGTAGCTGTCTTGGAAGAATAATAGACCTCGTAGGGCAAGGAGCTCTCCATCCATGCTGGAACTAAAGGAAAGGCTAAGTGACCACCTCTCCAGGACATGGAGAAAAGATTACTTTCATGGAGGGAAGGTTGAACTAGATGACAAGATCAGAAGGCTGGAGCTGGAATGGGCCTTGGAGAAGATCTTTAAAAGAAGGGATTCCAGTTCTAAATCCGGGGTCTAAAGACCCAGGAAACAGAGAATTAGTAACTTCACTCTCCCACATCAACCCAATAAAGATACTGTTAGAATGAGCGAATAAAAGACAAGAGTTGGAGATGCTAGGTATTTGGAACTGAAATGCACCTTCAGGAGCATCTATTTCAATTTAATTTTTAGAACATGCTAAGGAAGCTAAGATGAAGATGTGACAAACTTCCTAAGGAGGTTTTACCACAGCAGCAAGTAAACAGAAAACAACAGTATAGTGTGTTAATGCGTGGATTCAACTATCCCTGTTCTCCATTTCCTTCCCAATTTGATGCTTTTATCATCACACCATAATGCTTCTTCCATAGTTTCTTTGAATTGTATGACAGCAGGACTAGGGCTATTAGTAAAATTTAGGTCATTCATGTCAGGGAGTTGTGGTTTATAATGCATAAAAGTATTTATTAAAAGAACACCATCTTGCAAATCTGACTCTGAGATTTTCACTATGTGTAAGACATGGCTTATGAAAATCCAGCATAATCTAATGCTTCAAGTCCCTAAAAGGAGCAGGGTTGTCATGTTTATGAAATGAAGATCCACATTTTAATATAGCAGACTGTACAAAGGCCCAGTTTAGGAAAAAGCAGAACTGGAAGGGAATGCAGTATTTCAATGTAAATAATTTTCAAATGCTACAAAACAGAAAACCGTCTCAAGTCAATATTAAAATGTTAGCACTTTTCTAATGTAATTCCCATTTACATATCATATTAAGACTTATGAAGATTTTTCCTTATAAGCCTTCGAGGTCAGTAGTTTATTATCTTGGTTTTACAGTAGAAGAGGAACCTGAGAAGAGTAATGGCTACATGACTACAAAGTGTCAGAAACAGGATCTGAAGTCTTCTGATCCAAGTCCTGTGCATTTTACACTACACACCAAAAAATGAACAAAATTTATTTTACAAAATGCTATTTATTTACTTCATGGTAATTTTACCTATTATAAAAAACAATTACTAAAATATACAAAGTAGACCTTTAAAACATGGAAGGATAATAAGTGTCATGATACAGAAAAAGCAACCAAATAGAATAGGGGAACCTATGCAAGGGAATTGAATTCTCTATTTCAGGAGACATAAAATGCCTCAAATTCAGCTCAAAAGTACCTGGATTTTACTTACAAATTATTTCATTCCAAAAGGAATTAGTACTCAGGTATGTTCTCGCTGATGAAAAAATGAATTAAGCAAAGCCAGTATACAAATATATACTGAATAAATAAGCCAAAAGCACAACTTAAATAGGTTCAGTTCTGCAAGTATCTTGTTCAAACTAAATGGAGTTAATTTTTAAACTTTTGTAAGTGTATAAAAAGTTATGTATAGCTCCATTCTTCAAATTTATAAAGATCATGCACTGACTTCAAATTATCAGCTACTACTGTAGTGTTTACTAATATCACCACCATATGCTTATCATCAAGGATATTAGGTAAAGCCACTTGTTTCGGCAGCTTGTTACACAGCTATAGCCACCAAGAAAACCCTTGTGTTCACATTGATAGCACTGCTCTGGTAGGTTCTGACTATTTTAGAAGAAATCCTGATACACAATGGTTTCAAGCTGCTTAACCAAACAAGTTTCATGTAAAACATGAAATGCTTTTCCCACAATGTGTACCTATTTATTCTTTTTTTTAAAAAAAAAAAGCCTCTTCCTAAACCAGTCAAAAACAGCACTCATTCATAGCCATTTTTATACTCCTGCAAAACACAAATCCCAGAAAAACAGGCATAGCCAAATTTAATGGCCACCAATTTTGATATGTTTGGTTGAGGTAATCCTTCCAGGGAAAAGAAAAAACAAACCAAACAACCTTTAAAAATAGGTCTTCAGTTCTGACAACAGATTAGGACAAGTGCTCAAAAATTCACATTTTCTTCAAAAAATTTCAGCAGTCGAGCTTTTGTGCTATAATTTACATATTTTTCACCCAAATGCTCCTGCAAATGCACCTATGTGGAACACAGAAAAATCATCATGAAAAATGTGCATACCAGATGACATTATTACAAATATAACCCAAAGTACTACCAATTTCGACTGCCAAATTTAGGGATGGATTGGTAGTAAAAGCTTATGTTATACCTTTACTTTAAGACATAGAGAAGTGATGTAGCACAGTAGCATAGAGTAGCGATGTAGCAAGCCGGCCTCAAAGTCAGCAAGACCCAGGTTCAGGTCTCACTTCTGACACACATTGGCCCTGTCAGTGTAGACACATACAGTATGTGGCTGCTTCACCTCAGTGTGCTCTAAGGAACTTGATAAGACTATAAATTCCAAAGAAGGTGTCAACATACATTGATAGAGGGAGTTTCCTCACCTAGGGATTCCCTATTCTAATGACATCACTGGTATAGTCCCTAGTTCTGTGTGTGTGTGTGTCTGTGTGTGTGTATACTGAAAAATAACATTATAGGCTTCTCTCAAGTCATATTTAGGAGAAAGGGAAGCATAAATCTATATTCAGACCAATTCAGTCTTGAGTGTCTACTACATGCAAAGTGCTATGCTCTGGAGGGGGAAATAAAAATTAGTTCAGGGTAACACTACACTACAAGTTTATCTATATACTTACTTCTCTCTTCAGTTCATCATCTTCTTCCATGAGATCATACACTTTCTCTAGAAGCTTCACTCCCAACCCTTGAATTACATCAGCTCTCAAGACTTCAATCATTCTTCTGATCTTTTCAGAACCAGACACAACAGCTAAGAAATAATAAGACAAGGGCAACAATAACCTAAATCCATACACTCCATAACAAGAAGAATGAAACACATTTATCTTGTTATCCATAAGAAATACTTTCACGTTTAATGAATTCTTACATTCTACTTGTTGAGTACAATTTATAGAGATCTACACTTGAGCTCTGTTCACATTGGGAATTGGTACACAAATGGTTTTGTGCCTTATTGAATGAATGGAAAATTAAGTACGTGCACTGTGCTGAGCACTAGGGATACAAATAGTGCCTGCTTGTGAGGGGCTCACATTCTAACAGGAAGAGAAGGTTTATATACAGAAGGTTTCATCTGTAAGTCAGATGGAAATGACACAAATAAGATATAGTCTTAAGACATAGTAGCCCTCTTTATAATGCTTCCAGAAGTAATTACCAACCCCTAGTAACCAAATCCAAATGAGATGAGCCTCACTTTGAGAATTAGATACATTCAATTAAAAATCAAGTAAATCAGGGAGGTGAGTTTCTATTACAAAGAAGCCTCTATAATCAATCAATCAATAAGCATCTATTAACTGTGTGAGGCACTGTGCTAAATGCTTTGGAAACAAACGCAAAAACATGGTCCCTATCATCGAGGAGATCACATTTTAATGGGTGAGACAACCTGCAAACAACTATATACACAGAAGATACATAATCCCAGTCGGGGTAGGGGGGAATGGAGTCAGGAAAGGCTTCTTGCAAAAGGTGGGATATAAGTTGAATCTTGAAGGAAGCCAAGAAGTGGAGGTGAAGAGGGAGAGCATTCCAGGCATGGAGGACAGCCAGTGAAAAGGGCTGGAGTTGGGAGATGGAGTGTCGTGTGTCAAGATGACATAAGAAGGCCAATGTTGCTAGATCATAAGAGTATGTGGATGGGAGTAAGGTGTAAGAAGACCGGAAAAGCAGGAAGGAGCCAGGTTGTGAAGGCTCTAAAAGCCAGATAATTTTATATTTGATCCTGAAGTAATAGGGAGCCTGTGTATACGTCTGTGTGTGTGAGTGAGAGTTTGTGTCTGTGTATGTATGTGTGAGGTTGAGTGAGAGAGAAAGAGTCAGTCAGACAGATCTTCACTTTAGGAAGATCACTTTGGTGGATGACAGGAGGATGGACTGAAGTCAGGAGAAAATGAAGGCAAAGAGATCAGTCAACAAGCTACTGCAATAGTCTAGGCATGAAGTGATAAGACCCTGTGCCAAGTGGTTATTGTGAGTGGAGAGAAAGGGAGGTACATGAGATATGTTAATAGGCTTTTATGTGGAGTAAGTGTGAGAGGGTACTCAAGGGTGACATCTAGGTGGTGAACCTGGGTAACTACAGGATGGTGGTGCCCTCAACAGTTAGAAGAAAGTTACAAAGAGGGGAGGGTTTTGGGGGAAAGATAAGTTCTAATGGGTTCACCACAGGTTCCTTTAAATAGTAAGCTCTCCTAATATATCTAAAATGTGATGCTATTTACAAAAACCCAACTTTTTAGAGAAACACCTACTGCATAAAGCATGGCATCAATAGTACATCTTTAATCAAACAACTAGATTAAAATTTCATCTGTAAATGGTAACATCAAATGTGCAAACTACTATTAAACTACTTTGGCTTTCAAGTATTCTACCCCCAGTAAAGAGATACTTTCCAGTTTGCTTCAAAAGTAACAAGTCACAGACCTGGAGAAAGTTCTTTAAGCCTAAGTTCCTCAGAATCCTCTTCAACCTTCCCATACAGAATTAGTGTGTCTCTGTATTTTCGATGAAGTCTAAACTCTGACATAGGAAGAAGTCTTGGAAGATTCTCACAATTCTCTTTAGAGTCCATTTTTAGTGTCTGAGTCATCAGGTGTACCAAATCATTCATTTCATTTGTATGGCCTCTCCTGAAAAAGATTGCATCTATAATTAGTTTGGTCTTAAGAATTTTCATAAAAAAATATAATATACTCATGTTCACTTTTTTTTGCTTTTATTATTTTTTTTATCTTTTTTTTCCTTTCAGTTAGGCAATGGGGTTAAGTGACTTGCCCATGGTCACACAGCTAGTAAGTATTATGTGTCTGAGGTCACATTTGAACTCAGGTCCTCCTGAATCCAGGGCCAGTGGTCTATCCACTGTGCCACCTCGCTGCCCCGCTTTTATCATTTTTTAATGATTTTCTGGGGATTTTTCCCCCTATATCACCATAGTTTCCATCAGTTTGCCTCTTGCAGACAGTCATTCCATATAATGAATAGCATTTTTTAGGACAAAAAAAGGAGGAAAAAACCCAGAATAAATGACCAGTACATAAAGTTTGAAAATAAGTGCAATGTACAGTACCTGTACAGTATTCTGTACTGTAAAAAGAGTGAGAAGGAAGTGTCTTCTTATATCTCTTTTTTCAACCATACTTGTTCTTTATAATTGTATATTTACTTTCGATTTTTTTTGTGGTTCTTTCCATTTAAATTATTGTAGTTACTGTGTTCATTGCTTTCTTAATTCTGCTTACTTTGCTCTGCATCAGTTCATAGAGATCTTTTCATGCTTCTGTTCATCACATACATCATTTCCTATAGCACAGTAATATTCCATTACATTCATGTAACAATTTACTTAGCTATGCCTCAAATACTGCCCCCTCCATTCTTTGCTATCACAAAAAGTGCTGTTATTAATATTTTGGTGTATAGGGAACTTTCTTCTTATTAATGGTCTCCTTAGTGTATAAGCCCAGAAACAGAATCTCTGGATCAAAGCATATGGACATTTTAGCCGCTTTATTTGCATAATTACAAATTGCTTTCCAAAATGACCTTTTCTAATTCAAAGTTCCATCACAGCATTATAGAAGGTGTCCATCTCACACCCCCTCCAACATATACTATTTCCATCTTTTGTCATCTTTGCCAATTTTCATGGCGTAGGGTAAAAACTCAGAGTTGTTTTGATTAACATTTCTCTTATTATGAGTGATTTGGATCATTCTTTCATATTTTCAATCAGCTTGCAATTTTGGGGGGGACTGTTCATATCCTTTGCCTACTTGTCTATTGAAGAATGACTACAGGTCTTTAAATGTGTGCATATTTATACATATATATATATATTAATTGTTTATATATCTTAGATAACTAAGATTTCTCTTTATCAAAGAAATTTAGCACAAAGATTCCCCCCCCCCATTTACTGTTTCCCTTCTTATCCTAGGTGCATTAATTTTGTTTGGCAGAAGCTTTTCAGTTTCATGTTAATCAAACATATCCATTTCATCTTTTGTGGTGGCCTCTCTCCCCTGTTTGGTTAAGAATGCATCTATTAGGGGCAGCTAGGTGGTGCAGTGGATAGAGCATCAGCTCTGGAATCAGGAGGACCTGAGTTCAAATCCTGCCTCAGACACTTGACACTAGCTGTGTGACCCTAGGCAAGTCACTTGATCCCAACTGCCTCACCAACAAAAAAAAAAATCTTTTTTTTTCCTTTTCGCTTAGGTGATTGGGGTTAAGTGACTTGCCCAGGGTCACACAGCTAGTTGGTATCAAGTGTCTGAGGTTGCATTTGAACTCAGGTCCTCCAGACTCCCAAGACCAAAGCTCTATCCGCTACACCACCTACCTGCCCCTACATGTCTTACCTCTAGCCATGAGAGGTACATGATTTGCTTCTCTTCTAATATTTTAATAATATGATCTTTAATATTAACGGCACATTTAGAATGTTAATATTAATTTAATATTAAGGTTCATTAGAATGTATTGTGGAATACAGTAGATGCTATTGGCCTAAGCTTAATTTCTGTGAGACTGTTTTCCAGTTTTCCCATCAGTTTTTTAACCAAATAGGCAGTTCTTTCCTAAATAACTTATGTTTTCTACTTTATCAAGCACTGGGTTATCGAGTTCCATTGATTCTGATTCTCCTTTGCCCAGTCCCGGAACTTTCCCAAGTCAGACTGAACCAAAGTATCCCTTTAATAATTTGACTGGTATAGCATTAAAATTATAAATTAACTTTGGTATTATTATTTTTATTATATTGGCACAGTTCAGCAATGGGCACTGAATGTTCACCCAGATATTTAAGTTCTTTATTTTTTTAAGAAGCACTCTGTAAGGACTCATATGTACAAAAATATTGATAGCAGCTCTTTTGTGGTGGCCTAGAACTAGAATTTGAGGGGATGCCCATCAATGGGGGAGTGGCAGCACAAGTTGTAGTATATGAATATAATGGAATACTATTGTTCCATAAGAAATGGTGAGCAAGCAGACTTCAGAAAAACCTGGAAAGACATGAACTGATGCTAAGTGAAATGAGCGAAGAGAATATTGTACACAGTAACAGCCACACTGTGCAATGACTAACTTTCAGACTTAGCTCTTCTCAGCAATGCAAGGATCTAAGACAACTCCAAAAGACTCATGATGGAAAATGCTAGCCACATCCAGAGAAAGAACCATGGAGTATGAATGCAGATTGAAGCACACTATTAGCTTTTTTTGTTGTTTTGTTTCCTCTTTCTCATGGTTCCTCCCATTAGTTCTAATTCTTTATAGCATAACTAATGCAAAAAGAAAAGAAAAAAAAGAAGCACTCTGTAGTTGAATCTATAAAAAATTTTCTATGTTTTGGTAAACCGATCTCTAGATATTTTATGCATTTTGTATTTATTTGGAACAGAATTTTTCTATTACTGCCTCTTGGATATTTATATTTATATTCTATTATATATAGAAATGCTGTTGATTTTTAAGGACTTATTTTGTAACCTGCAACTTTGCTAAAGCCATTGTTTCAATTAGAATCTTTGTCAATTCCCTAAGATTTTCTAAGTAAACTATCATATTCATCAGCAGATAGGGATAGTTTTATTTCCTCTTTACCTAACTTAATGCCTTTAATTCCTTTCTCTTCTATTATTACTATTGCTACCATTTCCAGGATTATATCAATAATAGTGGGGAAAGTAGGCATCATTGTTTTACTCCCACAGGTCTTGGGAAAGGTCCTAGTGTATCCTCATCGTAAATGTATGATGCTAGCTTTTGGTTTTAGATACTTTTGATGATATTTTAAAAAGGTTCCTTTCTGCCTACACTTTGTAGGGTTTTTAGCATAAATGAGTATTATACTTTGTCAAAGGCTCTTTCCAAATCTATTGAGATAATCACAGAGCTTTGGATATTTTTGTTTTCAAAATAGTTATAATTGTTTTCCTAATGTTGAACCATCCTTGCATTCCTGTTACAAATTCAACCTAGCTATGATGAATGACTTCTTTGATGAATGGCTGTAGTCTGTTTTTATTTAAAATTTTGGAATCAATATTCATTAATGATACTGGTTTATATAGTTCTTATATGCTTTATCCTTCCCTGGTTTAGGTTTTAGCACAATATTTGCCTCATAAAAGGAATCTGGTTTTCTTTCTAGAAATATTTTAAATGGTTCTTTTTTTGTCAAACTTCATTTTTTTCCATTAATGGTTTGGCTCAGGTTTCAAGGGTACATCACCTTGAGTTGTAACTTGAGCTCCTTTGCTGTTCTGAGTACATTCCGTTCCCTTTTGCTATTTCTTGTGGGTGCAGAATAATTGCATGTTGTTCAAATTTCTTTTCCTTTATATTTGAAGTTGCTTGCAGAATTTGTTGCTTATCATTAAAATTATTAAATTTAAACCTATGTATTTTGGAGTTCACAACACAGAGTTTTTTCTTGTAGACATTTTGTTTTCCATATTCAGAAGTTCTGGGCCGTTTTTTTGTATTATTTCTTGCATTATCATTTCAGGTTTTTGGCTCATCACGCTCTTCTGGGAGACTGATAATCTTCAAGTTGTTTCTGTGCACGGTGTCTCAGAGACAAATGTTTACGAGCACGTTCTCTTTTTAATGTCATTGCTTTTTGCTTCTCTTCTTTCAGACTGCCCTTTACTTCTGTGTACATTCAGTCCCAATCAGTTATTATCGCTTTTGTTTCTTTGGTAAGACTTAGCACTATGGATCCAAGTTTTTAAATCCTGCCAATTACTTGTACTATGCACAAAGAATTAAGAAGGTAGAAAATAAATTCTGCTTTTACAATTCTCATTTCTCTTTTAATCTATTCAGAAACATCCTGCTGTGATTCTTTACTCTCTTAGGAATCCACAGGATCTCTCTCCTGAAGTGTTGAATCATTTTCCTTTGTGTTGCAATATTTATTCATAGATGTCTGGACTCTTAGCTATTCTCAAAGCCATATTCCCTTCTGTTATTAATGTTTCCACTGTTGATTTATCTGCATTTGTTCAAAATTTTTAGTATTCTTCCTCCTGAGATCTTTAGTTAATTCCAGACTTTTTTTCCCCCCTTATATTCCCTTATTGCTCATTTTCTGACTCCTTCCCCTTTGTTTGTTTCCCCATGGGCTGGTGTCCCCCCCCCCCATGCCATTTCAGACTCTTTCCATACTGGGCATTCACATTTCACAGGCCTCAAATCTCCGCCCCAAGTGACTTCTGGGGGGGAGAAAAAGCCAGCCTCAGGTGGATACTGGGCTCTTTTCCCTCAGGCTTAGTGGAGTGCCTCACAGCCATACATCTGTCCTATCCCAGTTCCTTCTGTTTCTCAGTTTTCTGACTGAGCACTGCTGTAATATGAAGTGTCACTGAATTATTTTCCCAGCCAAGTAAGCTTCTGTCTTTTAATTCTCTGCCACTGGGAAGAAGCAGGGTAAAGGCAGAAGACAGTTTCATTGCAAGCCCAAAAGTGGTCCATGCAACCCTGTATAAGGAGTATAATGAGTGTGGAATGAACAAGTTAGGAGTCAAGGATTACTCTTCCCTGCTGTTAGCTCACTGAATTGTTACCTCCCTAGAGTTGTTGGTTTTCCAGACTGTGAAGGCAGTTAAGTTGTTTCACCTTTTTTTTTTTTTGTATTTTGTATTTTGCTAGGCAATGGGGTTAAGTGACTTGCCCAGGGTCACACAGCTAATGACTATTAAGTGTCTGAGGCCAGATTTGAACTCAGGTCCTCCTGACTCCAGGGTTGGTGCTCTATCCACTGCACCACCTAGCTGCCCCAGTTGTTTTACTTTTTGCACATAATTCCTGTCTAATTTTCTACCTTGTTGGTTATGTGATCCAGAACACTCATATTTTATTTTCAAGTCAGAATTAATTTGAGAGTAATTTGATCAGCTTTTCAAGGAGAATTTTTTAAATCTTTACTTGTCCAGTCTGCTTTCTTTATGGCCTTTCCCAGTTTCCTTGGTAAAGTGGGACTTTGGAGTGTAGGGTAAATGATGTGTGTGTCTGTGTATATACATATTTAAAGACTTACTAGTACTAAACACTACAAGGAAACATACAAAGGGGTAAAGGAAAACTTACAGAGATTTTATCAGTTAACATGGCCCTATATGGATTCATGGGAACCTGTCTTGTACTTATTAAATAATGTATATAAATTTCCTCACTTCACATTGCCAACCCTTTTTCTCCTCAGATTTTTTTCTAGAATCATCTTCCAGTATAGATGTTAGGTCAATTTTTATCTTTTATCCAATGGATTACAGGTTTAGCAAACCTACTAGTGTCTCAGTTCTTTTAAAGTCTGTTTCTTCTACTGTAGGTCCAAGTGTGGGGGCCTCTGTCCCTTTCATACACTCTACTCCCACTGGACTGACTCCAGGCATCCAGCCTGTAAAGAACCTGCCATAGCTTCCCTCATCCAAGTCCCTTTGGATCATGAAATTGAAACATTGAGCTAAAAGTATACGGTGGAAACAGAGGCATATCAGTAGGATAATTTAGGTGCAATTATCTAAAGGCAGGGAAGAAACTAATGATCTTTCACAGTCCTATGATTACCATTTCCAATTTAATAGCTGCTTTTAATTTTATATTTATCATAGTCATAGATTATTCCCCCCATCAATATTCAAGTAAAAAATCAGCAGCTTGAACATTATATAATCAAAATGACCAAGTCCCAGAGAAAATGAAAGAAATGCAGCCTTTTCTTTTCAGTAAAGAAGTGGATGGTAGGGGGTAAGAACTATGGATGTAGAATGGTGTAGAAACTATAACATGGTTTATGTACTGGCTGTTTTTGCTGAATTGTTTTTAAAAAATCTTTGTTACAAGGGAAAGCTCCCTGATGAGGAAGTCTGGAGGGGGATATTCAGGAATGAATATGATATATAAGCAAAAAGCATCATTAAAATATACCTAACAAAAGCTGGCTAGCAAGCTCGTACCAATTTGAACTAAATTTACAACTTCAGTATTGCAGAAAAAAGAGCCAACATAGGCCTTCTATGTGAAAAGAAGTACACAAAAATCAGATGCGTTCACTAGTATGCATAATTAAGATAGAAAACAATTTAAAAAACACAGACTTGCACCAGCACATTTGGATTAACCTGTGAAGGGAGGTTAAAAAAAATACACCTACCCTTCCTTGGAATCTCCATCCGACTTATCAGTTGAACTTGTAGAAGAACTTAGCTCATCCTCAGACAGACAACGAACTAAGTTCTTTTCCTATTGACAAAACAAAATTCTCAGTAATTACACATCCAAAATGCAAGGATATGACACGGTCTTGTATGTAAGGTGGCATGGATTGTAGGATCCTTAGTTGTAAATAACCATACCACACTTGTGCTATGCTGATAAGCTTAACTGGTAAAGCCCCTCACTGCACTTGCTCTCTGCTGACACATCATTATGTAACCGTAGTTAATGTAAACTTATGAGCTTATTGTTGGCACGATGCCTTCTTTGTGTGTTTCTCTATAAATCAGCAAATGCAGAATGTGAAAGCAGAAAAGCTGTGCTTGTCTCGACCCGCCGCCACCAAGAATTAGGGGGATGCTGTAGGGACGGGTGCTCCTAGCTCTCATCCCGCGGGTCCCTGCAAGAGTAAAGTGATTAAGCGGACACTGTAGAGGCAGATGCCCCTACCCTCGTCTCATCGGCTGCCAAGAGAAAGTAACATAACTCCTTACCTGGGGCTCCACTGTCCTTTAAGTCTGCCCGAGTCCAGTGAACCCACAGGCAGCTGAGGAGCTCCTGTGTTACAAGCCTTAAGCTAAAGCAACCTCTATCTATCTGGCTACAATTTAACTCCTCTGACCTAACCCATTATTTCTATTAGTAATACCACTATTCATCCAGACTCCTATGTTTGAAAACTCAGTGTTACATTAGACTCTTCCCTCCTTCACCTTTCATATCCAATTAGTGACAAGGTCCTCTCATTTTTACCTATGCAATCTCTCTTTCATCCATCTCTTACTTTATTTCTACTGCCATCATGTAGGCATAGACTTTCAGCAGTAACACTCACCTGGACAATTACATTTGCTTCCTTTCAGGCTTTCCTGTCTCTGCTTCTCCTTCTAAACCATCCTTAACACTACTTTCCAGCTAATCTTTATGTATAGATTTGGTCATATAAAAAAATCTGTAATAGCTTCCTATTACCTAATAAGTAAAGTTCAAACTCCTTAGCCTGAAATTCAGAACCCTCCAAAACCTGGCATCATTCTACCCTTCTAGCCTGATACTGGTCCCCCTCCAAGTACTCTAGATCAGTGCTTCTTACACTGTAGGTCAGTTTAAAATTTGGCAACAGTTCAAGGTTTCTGAATGCGCAACAACCAAAAATTAATTAAAAATCAAATGAGTAATGAATCTAAGGTGTTCCTGGCAGCACTTGCCCCCATCATATAGTGCAGCTTCACTGCAGCTGTGGTTCTGAACACATATCATGCACACTTTGCACTGTGCATGCCATCATGCCCTGCAACACCAATGAACACTGCCAAAATGTGAAAAGGGGTTGCAAGTGGAAAAAGTTTAAGAAGCCCTGCTATTGTAAATAACCTGCATTCTCCTTCCTCCGTGCCTTTACTCATGCTATTTCCTGTGCTTGGAATTCCTATCTACCTACTACCTTTTTTGTTTTTTCCTATCTTTTAAAGCCTAACTCCTAGGAAACTTTTCTTATTTCCTTGAATTTCACATAACATTTTGTTTTGTTTCACCACTTTAAGGAATTATGTTAACACTACGTATCACAGGCATTTGCATTTGTGTCTTATTCCCCTAGACTTTAAATTTCATTAAGATAAGGACCATGTTGTAACTAACCTCAGTAGCTTCATCAGCCCCTAGTATAGTGCTCTATAAACAAATGATTACCACTTACTACATATTTGTTGAAGAAGATAGAAATTACTCTGTAAACCAAAATTCTTTACTGGATTGAATAAAGCCCTTCTAACCCAGACCACAAGTGAAGCCTAACGAGCAACATGTTTCGGTCCCACAGCACCTCAGGGAAAAATCAACCCTAACAAGAAGTATCCTTTTCACCCAAGCAAGAACAATTCTACATAGTGCTCAAATCTTTCAGTGTGACTAGGACTGACCAACATGGGCCCTGGCTTATTAGACTAACCATCAAATTCTATCCAGAAATAACCTTTTCTGGTTAAAGCTTGATTATGATGAAGGAACATCTGATAAGCAGCTCAGAAGGAAGCCTCATGTGGAATATGAAAATACATTAAGTGCATTCAAACCTGTAATCTGAACCAATCGGGGCTTAGGTCAGTCTGAATTAGTGGAAACATCTGAGTAACAGAATGTTTGTTTTTTAAAGAAATGAAACTTTGTTATGCTCAGATATAAGTCTTGTTCTTCACCAAAATGTATAGTGTCAGAGTAGAACAGCAACAAACTGCTCTTTCCCCTATGTGTTGTTATTCAGTTAGAAAAAGTTTATCGTAAGTCAGGAAATATATAACCCTTTTTTCCCCACTAGATGACAATCATGCCTCACAAGTAAGGAAAAACAATGTCCAAGTTCTATTATAAATGTACAAGAAAGAAGAATGTGTAAGAGACTGGTAGTGAAATGAGAAAATAAGGGATTTTTTTTTGCCAGATAGATGGGCATGTTGGCAAAGTGTGTGTGTGTGTGTGTGTGTGTGTGTGTGTGTGTGTGTGTGTGTGTACCAAGAACCAAGCTAACAAAGTTACAACCTTGGGCTACTTATTTTAGTGATGAGTTATTAGCATAATAATTAGTTGTGTGTGAATATAGTCTAAAGTTTGTTGTCTTAGTTCCAGTATTGTCATCCTTAATCAATAAAAATTTAATTAAGTGCCTACTATGTGTGGGGATACAAAGACAGAAATGAAACAGTACCTGCCCTCAGGGAATTTATATTCAATTGGAGAAGACTTTGTGTACATATATAAGGATATGCACAATCCAGGGTTCGGTTAGGGCCCAGAGCTGGCCTGGTGATTTCACTGGCAGAGGGAACTCCTGGGGAGGCATTTCCTCCCTAATGCAGGGTAGCAACTTCTCTGCCACTCAGTGTTTAAAGGGCGATCGAGAGCAGCCAGAGCCACTGGCCATCATGAAGCTGAGATAAGATTCCAGCCTGGTTCTTCTGGCTCTAAGATTGGCCTTCTGGGCACTTGGCCACACAGCCTCTGACTTACATGACACCCCTGCCATTCAGGCCTATCCAGTAAAATGAATGACCAGAAGCTCAGGATTGTAACGACACAGGACAGATACAAGGCGACTGGGGACCACAGGGAAGGCATTAGAAGCCAGGGAGGGGTAGGATCAGGAAAGACTTCATGTATCAAGTGGTACTAGAGGTTTAAAGGAAGCAAAATATCCTAAGCTCCCCAAGTGAGAAGGAGAGGACAGATCTCAGGCAGGGGGACAGCAAATCCAAAGGCTCTAAGAGTGTTGTATATAACAAAAAGCCAGAAGGTCAAGTCTGCCTGGACCAGAGAGTGTATGAAGAATGCATATGTAAAATGACTAGGAAGGCAGGTTGGAGCCACATTATAAAGGAATTAAATGCCACACAGGAGATTCTATTTGAGCCCAGAGGCAACAGGGATAAACTGCAGTTTACACAGTAAGGGAATGACATGGCCAAACCTGCACTTGAGGAAAATAGGCAGCTGTGTGGAGGGTAGATTGGAGAGAGGAGGGAAGTGAAGTAGGGAGACCAATCAGGGGACTCTGCCACAGGTGAGGTGAGAAGTGATAGAAAACTGAACTAGGACAGTGGCCATATGAACAGAAAGAAGGACGTAGGTATGAGAGATGTTGGAAGGTAGACATGATAAGACTTGGCAACTGATGTGATATGTGGGAGTGACAGGAAGGAATCAAGGGTGACACTAAGATCATAAACCTGGATATCAGGAAGGATACTGGTATCCTCAGCAGAGATAAAGAACTGTGGAAGAGAGACACATTTTGAAGAGAAAGATAATGAGTTCAACCTTGGATATGCTGATTTCGAGACCTCCTATAAGACACCTAGTTTAAAACATGCAAATGACAGTGATGCTGGAGTGGTGAGAAGACAGACTAGGGCTGGATACATACATCTGGGGATCATTTGCATAAGGATAATAATCAAATCTATGAGATATGAGGAGGTCACCAAGTGAGAAAGTAGAGAGAGAGAGAGAGAAGGAAGTCCAGCGAACAGTTATAGGGCTTAACATGGCTAATGATGCAGCAGAGGAGACTCAGGAGTGGTCAGACAGGAGAACAAGAAGAGAACCCATAAAGAAGAGTGATTCCAGGAGGACATATGACCAGTAGGGACAAATGCTGTTAAGTGGTCAAGAAAGATGGGGATTGAGAAAAAGCAATCAGATTTGGCAATTTAGAGGTTAGAAACCAGACTGCAAGTGGCTGAGAAAGGAGCACAAGGAGAGTAGACAGCTTTTTCTAGAAGTATGATTAGGAGGAAGAGAGATATAAGATAATTGCTTAATGGGATGGTACTGTCTAATGAGTTCCTTTTTTTTTTTTTTAAAGGACAGGGGAAACCCAGACATGTTCACAGGCAGCTGGGAATGAACCAAAAGATAGGAAGAGACTGAAGATTTGAAAAAGAGGCTGTTGTGGAGGCAATCTGCAGGGGAAGACAGGAAAGGATGAGATCAAGGTTTCGCCCTGCCAAGAAGGGTTACCTCTTCTTTATCAGAGACTGGAGTAAAGAGGAGAGGACCTCCAATTATTATTTAAGAAACTTTTTATAGATGGGACAAAAGCAAACTTTATCCTGGTCTCCTCTAACTAAATGGAATTCTCATTAATGAGGTTTTGCTGTAAAAATAAAGAAAAGAATTTAAACACTTCCAAATTAAGGAATGTGGCTTGTGGCTTACCTGAGAGGTGTCCACATCTGAAGATAACTGATGAGCTACGAAATGCTCATCTTCTATATGCAACTTCATTCCTTCTCCTGCATCCAGAGAACCTCTTCTCACTAAAGGACCTGAAAAAACTATCAAAGGCCATTTGGCTTAAAACTAGGGGCATCAGTCAGGCAGAGCAGGAAGGAGCTAGCAGAAAGAGCACTGGCCTTGGACTCAAAGAATCAGAGACATGGAGCTGGCAGGTACCTGAGAAGCCATCCAGCACAGCCCCTTCATCTTACGGATGAGGAAACTGAGCCTTAGAGAAGTACAGAAGACAAGATTTGTGTATCTGGCATGACACTAGCCATTTGGTTAGGGGTGAAACAATTAACTTCTGAGTCTCAGTTTTCTTATTTGTAAAATGGGGATATCTATACCACTCACAAGTTGTGTTACACTCTGTAAAGCACTGCATAAATGTTATCTGTTTAAACATTTTGCTCATTTCTTAATAATCCCTAGCTATGGACTACCCTTCCCAATGGCCTTTACTCTCCATTCATGTTCTTGAGCACAAGGGGTTGAACCTAGACAAATTAAGACAAAGTTTAGAAGTGGAAACACAATAAAAACTCACTTGAAAAATCTTTTTTTTTTTTTGATGAGGCAATGGGGTTAAATGACTTTGCCCCGGATCACACAGCTAGTAAGTGTTATGTGTCTGAGGACAGATTTGAACTCAGGTCCTTCTGACTCCAGGTCCTTCTGACTCCAGGGCCAGTGCTCTACCCACTGCGCCACCTAGTTGCCCCTCACTTGAAAAATCTACTGTATTCTCTGGTGTTAGTTATACATACTTAGGGGATTGCATTTTTCCAAACCAAAAGTAGGTATGGACTATGTTAAGACTACCTAAATTACTTTGTACTAGCCAAAATCTCAAAATGGATCCTGAAAGTTCCTATACCTCACTGAGTATAATTTCTTTTCTTCATATCTTCACGCAGAAAAAAAAATTAAATATATATACTCCCTCCCCCACCACTCACCCCAAGGTTAGGGGAGGGAGAAAAGATCTTACCAGTGGGAAATATCTCTTCCTGTGACCGCTTTAGTCTCCTCCTTTCTCTGGCAGACAAAGGTCGATCCTTTTGAAGAGAGAGAGTTAAGAGTTACTCCATCACTAGCCCATGAAAATGTTCTGCAGCAGTCTTCAAGGGGCACTTTGAAAGTAGCCTCTTTCAATGTCAAAGCCACTGCAGCTATAAGCACATATACTTCAGAGGTTTGCAAATGAATAGTTTTCAATGCATTAAAAAAAGTCTACCTAATCTTCCTTAATTTCAAATTTTTATATTGGAAGTAGCAGGGGACCTGAACCAAGGAAGCTGCATGCCTGCTCAACTAAGCAATCCGACGGGTCCCTATTCTATAATTTGCCAATGTTCTTTCTCATTATGGAATTGAGATACCTTTCCATCTTTCAGTAAACTATTCTGCAAACCAGGACTAGGAGAATAATAGTACATTTCCCCATAGCAGCTTAAGGTTTACAAAATGCTTTTCCTGCAAATACTCTGAAGTAGGTATGGTATTATTATCATCATTTTGTAGCTGAAGAAACTGAGGATTGTGCGACTTGCTTAGGGTCACACAACCATTAAGTGTAAAAGTGGGATTTGAATCAGTTTTTTGCGTCTAAGTCTAGTGTTGCTTCCACTACACATGCTGTCCTCAACTCCACAATTTACCCTGATTTTTACATCAAAAAGTATTACAAAGGCTAAGTCAATTTCAAAAAGTTCCTGCAAACCTTGGAGGACGTTATCTCACTGCTTCTTGAACTGTCCACAGACACCATTACTTCCGTGTTATGTTTATCAGCATCCCTCTGTGTCATCTTCTCAACTACTTTACTAGCAATGGGAGGAGAAGGCAAAGGTCTAGGAGACACTTCCTGGAACTTAAAAAAAAGAAAATATAAGACAAGTTCAGTTTCATATTCATCCTTTTCCATTTTTCACTTCACATTATAGTCTCCCAAAACTGTTTTTCCAAAAGCTTGCTTTAAAAAGGTACAATGTTTATATTTTTACAAAAATAATCCACCCAATATTAGCCACTCTCTATGAAACTTAGAAGGAAGAATACTAGAGGAAACTCCTTCAATAAGTCAGCCATCTCCATTTAAGATGAAACTTAATTATCAATACTTCACTAAAGAGAATTGCACATTTAGCCATCCTGGCCTACTCCCTTACACACCAAAAATGATCTTTCCATCTTCTTCCAAAAGGAAACATTTCCCCTACTATGTGTAACTGGTTCATATTTTAAAACTAATTTTAGCATGTCATCTTTTCCAAGTATTTCCTGCTCTTCTGATGATAGCCTTTATGTATCTTATGGGCAACTGTTACTTTAACTGAATCTAAAACAACTTACCCAAAGCCTGTCATAGGTGAGACAAATTTCTTACTTCAAGAATTTGTGATTGTATCATGTAGGTGCTGCCTCCTCTGATTCACATCACAATCCCTTTTTATCCTAGTAAATGGTTTTCAAAGAATTGCCATGACCCCTAGCAGTACCACATTTCAAACTATATTACAAAGTGATAATCACGAAAACAATCTGGCACTGGCTAAGAAATACAGTGGTGGATCCGTAGAACAGATTAGGTACACAATACGTAGGAGTAAATGACCATAGTAATCTAGTGTTTGATAAACCCAAATATCCAAGCTTTGTGGGCAATAACTCGACATTTAACAAATTGCTGGGAAAATTGTAGAACAGTTTGGGACAAACTTGGAAGAGAACAACATCTCATACTGTATACAAAGATAAGGTCAAAATAGGTAGATGATTTAGATATAAAAAGTGGTATCATAAGTAAAGTTGGGGAGCATGGAAAAATGTACCTGTCAGATCTATGGTTAAAGGAAGAGCTTATGACTGAACAAGACATAAAAATGGGAAGAAAATGTATTTTGATTAAATAATTAAAAATTTGTTCGTACAAACAAAACCAATGTAACCAAAATTAGGAAAGCAAGAAATGGAAAAAATTTTTACAGCAAGTTTCTTTGATAAAGGCCTCATTTCTCAAATATACAGGGAACCAAGCCAAATTTATAAAAATAAGAGCCATTCCCCAATTGATATATGGTCAAAGGATATGAACAGGCAGTTTTCAGAAGAAAAAATCAAAGCTATCAATAGTCACATGAAAAAAATACTCTAACTCATTACTGATTATAGAAATGCAAATTAAAACAACTCTGAGGTACCACCTCATACCTATCCAATTGAAAGAAAAAGAAAAGGACAAATACTTGGAGGGGTTGTGGAAAAACAGGGACACTAATGTACCGTTGGTGGAGTTGTGAACTGGTCTGACCATTCTCAGAACAATTTGGAACTATGCCCAATGGGCTATAAAACTGGTGCATACCATTTGTTTGACCCAGAAACACCACTACTAAGGTCTGTATCCCAAAGAGATCAAAGTAAAGGGAAAAGGACCTATTTGTACAAAAATATTTATAGCATTTGTATAGTGGCAAAAATTGGAAATTAGGGGGATGCCCCATCAATTGCAGAATAGCTAACTGTGGTATACCACTGTGACAGAATACTATTGAGCTGTAAGAAATGACCAGCAAGATGGTTTCAGAAAAACCTGGGAAGACATATATGTGAAGTGATCAGAACCAGTAGAACATTCTACAAAGTAGCAGCAATAGTGTAACAATGATCAACCATGAAAGACTTAGCTACTCTAATCAACACAATGATCCAAGACAATTCCAAAGGACCTATGATAAAAAGTGCTATCTATCTTCAGAGAAAGAAAGTGATGAACTCTGAGTGCAGATGGAAGCATATTTTTTTCACTTTTTAAATTTTTCTTGGTTTTGTTTGTTTTCTTTTGCAACATGGCTAATATGGAAATGTTTAGTATAACTTCATATGTATAATTGATATCATATTGCTTCCCTTCTCAAGGGGGGGGAAGGAGGGAGAGAATTTGGAATTCAAAATTTAAAAAAAATTTATGTTAAAATATTTCAATGTAATTGGGAAATATTTAACAAGGTAAAATTAAAATATACACGTGTGTGTGTGTGTGTGTGTTTTAAAAAGTTGCCATGATCAAAAAATTTGTCCTTCTAAGGCTACCATGGTGATGACCCTCTAGAGACCAGGCTGGTCCTCAGACAGACAAAGCCCAGTCCATCACCAGGATCAGATGTGAAATATTTCCAGCTTGGAGAACCTATCAGAATTTCTTCTCTGCTGAAAATTCAAAATTTCCTTCATACCATAATGAGCAGTGGAGTACACAATTTTTGTGTAGTTTTGAAAATTTCAATGTTAAATATACATGACAAATAAATTATCCCAAAGAAGTTTCTGCCCACCTGTCCATTATCTCTACTTCGTTCAACTCGTTCCCTTCTTTTCTGCCTTCGTTGCTGGGATTGGAAGGGCTCAGACACAGAACTATGGGGCTGTAAGTATGGGTTGATTCTATCCTAAAAATGAAAAAAAAATTCTTGTATCCATGGAATGAAATGGGATTTTATAAATGGCCAAGCCTTCTCAGTTAGCATCCAAAAAAGTGTTTCCGGGGCTGAGGAGAAACAAATTTCCCTTGGTACATGAAGAAATTCTGAAAATAAATGTCTTTTAGCTACTCTGGACTACAATCAAAACAGTATCAGTCTACTCTATCCCAATTCAGAATTCTTTCTCTTTGCCCAATTAAAAAACCCAAATTATTCTGGACTAATTGTTCCCTGAATGCCACTTTCCGTCCATCTCCCACTTCTGTGCATTTGCATAGGACCATCCTGGGAATGCACTCCATCTTTACTTCAACACCAGAGAATCTGTATGTTTCTTCAAGGCTTGGTTCAGGTGTCTCCGATACCCTCAGCTGTTAGTGCTCTCTCTCTCCCTAAATTTCTCTCACTGTGGGTGCACATGTTCTTTCGCCTAGTCAAATCCCTGCTCTTTAAGGGCAAGGAAAATTTTACTTCTGTCTTAGTACCCTCAGCACTTAGCACAGTCCCACCTATTGAATAAACATTTGTTGAACTTAACTGAACTCTTTCGGCTAAGAATTTTCTATAACTTTTTCATGGAAAAAATAATTGTAAATGTGTGGTTCAGCAAAATACCACTTGTTTCTTTTAAACTAAGAATTTAGTTCCTGATAAAAACCAGTGATTTGGATGCAAAAATATAACCTACTTTCAAAAATTTAATTTTATACATAAAAAAGCCTTCTTTCAGTGTTTCCATAGAACAACTTTCAGGTGTAAAAATATCCAGATGCCACAAATTAAATTTAGATAGTTATATAAAGAATCAATGCATATCTTATACACACACAAAAAAAATAGATAAGAAAATGCACTTCCCTCCCTTCTTTGCAGAGTGGGGAGCTATGAATGTGGAATTGTATTTACTCTCAGATTTGGCTGAGAAATAGCTTCATTTTGCTGAACTAATTTTTTTTCTTTTTTCTTTTGTGTTACAAGGGAAGGCTCGCTGGGTAAGAGGCAAGGGAAGATGTACTCAGAAATGAAGGTAATATAAAAACGAAATGTACCTCTAAGATTACAAATGAAAAAATGTTTAGTTGAAAGATAACAAATTAAAATAAAATTGTCTTGTACCAAATTTACTATTGCAATGTCTGTGTTTTCTAATAACTAAGACTATGGGGCACTGATAGTTTGACAAAAAAATTTCTTTTGAAAAGTCAGTGATTCAACAGTAACACAAAGTAAGGCTGAGCTATTAAACAGAGAATAGCATTTAACCAATAATTTTACATCTACTAGCAACCAACAAACTATAAAACTACAGGAAAAATATCTTCTATTCTTTTTGTCTTTTGTCACTGCCTTCAATATCAGGCAGAGAATAGTCACAAAAGATGAAAAGCTTGAGCAGTTCTTACAAAACTATAAACTGCTTCATCAGGAATTAAATGAGATCAAGTCAGCTGATCAAATTCTAAAGAGAGAAGAAATCCTAATTTACCAGCTGGAACAAGTAAGATATGATCACTAGAAGGTTTAGAGACTTACCAGGACAACAGGAACGAATGACGCTAAGAGCTTTTCGGTCGCGTCCGAACTATCCTGAAACAAGAAGGTCTTGCATTTTCATGAACAAACAAAACCCAGAGAAGTAATAAAACTGGTAACAAAAGTAGCTCTCAAAACTTATGTGAATGTAATCTGACAGTCAAACAAGGAAAAAGAATTATAATTCTGGTCCCATATTTCACTTCCTCTTCAAAGTCCTTGGATGTCAATTTTAAAAAATCTTTTCCTCACTATTCCACTTTACTTTTCCAAGCCTTAATCTTTTGATGACTTCTTTTTCTTAATTAAACAATATACTCAATCTACTTTTGACTATACATCTTCTCTAGAAGCTGACCAAAACTTGCCCAAATTGTGATGAAAATGCACTGAGGACCCAGGAGAAATAATGTTAAAACGTCAGAACTAGTAATGGAGCTGGCTTAGTCCTATATAGTGAAGGACTGTGCAGGAGGGAGGCAGGATGAAAATCTAAGCAGTTGTTGAGAGTTTCTCCCTCTCCACTACCATCAATGGTACAGAATAGGACAGAGATAGCTGAGAATCCCTTTGGTCCAAATTCCTTGTCTCAGTTTTTATATAAAATAGTATATGGAATAGCTGATTTTCTTTTAACTTCTTTTTAAAACAGACCTAGATAAGATAACTTGAATTAGATTCAACTAGCACTTTTTACTCTATTCTGAAACTGAGAGCTGACACTGGCCAAAAGCCTCACCTGGCCCGTTGGCTTGAGGTCCTGGTGTAAGGGCTGCAGAAGTTTCATTGTGTCATTCTCTTCATCAATGATCTCACCAGAAGTCTGAGAGGAAGCCAGATTTTCAGGCTCCATACTAACTTGTTGACCCTCTTCCTTCACTGGGGCCACATTAAATTTAGCTTCTGGCTCATGAGAAATATCAGAGCGTTTCAGTTTGTCATCTTGCAGTAAGTTGTCATTCTTTGAGTTTCTCCTTTCAGTAGCAAGTAAGATGTTAATATCCACCTTGCTGATTGTTGCTAAAGAGTCTCCAGGGCTGGGCATATCATTCTTGTTGGGATGGCTTTTAGGATATGCTATTTCTGAATGGCAAGCATCCATGGGTTTATGCTGCGATAAACATTTTTCTTCAACCTGCAAACATGCTTTAAGAATTACTATGGTACTAATATCTTATTTTAACAATCCACATTATTTTAAAATGTGTTTTAAATAAATTAACTTTATTACCATGATATCTTTTTAATATGGTTTTAGAATTAATTTTTTTACAGGACATTCTTTAGAAAAGCACAAATATTTCACATAAACTGATAGCCTGATATAACGACCTATTATTTTAACAGCTGTTTTAAAATGCATCCTTTTAATGGGAACATACCTCTGTAGGTGTCTTGGAAGGCTTTGAGAAATATTGCTGAGAGATGATCCTTTCACTGTCTGATTCAGTTTTTACTGAAATAAGTTCAGCAGCAGGTCTGGTTTTAGGGTTACCATTTTTAATATGGCTTTTGGAAGTTCTCCTTCATAAAGTGAAAATACAGGAAATATATTAAAAAGTTGTTTCATTCAATATGGCAAGATTCAAACACTTATTAAGTGCCTACTAGGTGCCATACCTTATGCTAGGTATGCTGAGGATACAAAGACAAAAAAAGAAAAAAGTACATTCTACTGAGGAAAAAAATGTGTGCAGATCTGAAAATACACAATACAAAGTAGGGTTCTAATAAGCTAGGTGGTACAGTGGTAGAGTGTTGGCCTTGAAGTCAAGAAGTCCTAAATTCAAATTTAACCTCAGACACTTATTAGTTCTTTTTTTTTAAAGGCAATTGGGGTTAAGTGACTTGTCCAGGGTCACACAGCTAGTAACTGTCAAGTGTTTGGTCTGAGGCCACATTTGAACTCAGGTCCGTCTGACTTCAGGGCCAGTGCTCTATCCAGCGCACCACCTAGCTGCCCCTTCAGACACTTATTAGCTATATGATCCTGGGGAAGTCACTTATCTGCCTCAGTTTCCTCATATGTAAAGTGGGGATAATAATAGCACCTACCTCCTAGTGTTGTTGTAAGGATAAAATGAGATATTTGTAAACTTTAAAGTGCCTATATGCTAAGTATTATAATCAAATGGATCAGAGCCCCTTCTTTCTTCAGCTCTTCCTGTTGAAAATATTTCTTTGATTTCCCACCTTTGTTGGGAGTCTATATACAATGTGGCATAGTAGATAAAAGTACTGGTTGTGAAGGCAGAAGAACTGGATGCAAATTCAGCTTCTGACCTATACTGATGAAACAAATCACTTAGCCTAAGACTTCTCTGCAGAGTCAAGGGCTGGCTGCAAGTTGCCTTAGAGAGAGGCACCCACAAAGTCACAGTCACAGATCCATGTCATAATAATGTGCCCAAGAGTCTAAAGAGTAGGAATGGACTTTCCTTTGCTATGAAGGGCTGCAGGGCTCTCATTCTGGACATCACTGATCTCTGCCCAGGACTTGAGGCTCAGATGTAGAAGGTAAAGAAGATCAGGTGTGATGTGAACTTGTTCAGGCCATGCTCACCAAGCTGCTTCCTCCTTTAAATTTCCTCATTCCTTGACTTCTTGTATATTCCCACCTCGCTGTTCATTCTTGACCTTCACAGCCACCACTCCTCCCTTCCTGTCCCCATCACACACACACACACACACACACACACACACACACACACACACACACACGGCTTAAACAGAATTCCTGATAAGGTCTGTGTTGGAAAGAGACCACCCTTGAGGACCTTTCCAACTCTTAAGAGTCTATAATTTGGAAGAAGGTGACAGAGATGGGGGTGGGGTGGGGTAGAGAACTAACAAAAGGGGGAATAAGGAAAGGCCTCTTGTAAGAGGCACTTGAGCTGAACCCTGAAGGGAGTTAGGGGGTCCAAAAGGCAGAAGTGAAGAAGAAAAGTGTTTCAGGCATGGGGGACAGCCTGTACAAAAACACAGAGATGGCAGAATAGTCATATATGGGTAAGTCAGAATTTGGCTACGATGCAGAGTATATCAGAGAAAGGAAACATTAAAAATATAAGTGTGTTAGACTGTATTAAAAGAGCACATCACATCCCCCCCATCCTGGGAGTCAGCTTCTCAAAGTCTGTCTGCAATCTCTTTAAACTCCTTCAGTGGGCTTAGAACTAGTGTGACATAGCAGAGAGAATTCTGGATTGGAGTTAAAAGCAGTGGGTTCCAATCTCATCTCTCATGTTTACTATCTCTGGAACCATGGGCAAGTCAATTAATCAAAGTCTCAGGTTCATATATTTCGTGCTAGAAAGGACCCCAAAAGTTGTGTAGTCCAACCCTCTTATTTTCAGATTAAAAAAACCTGAGGTTCACAGTAGTGAGCCATCCAATGTTACGAAGACAGGAGGCACGCCCATCCCTTCAATATAGGCATATATATATATGATATATTGAATATATTATATATTCAATATATAATATAGGTTACACTGTGTGAGAGAGACCAAAGCAACAGATCTGGGAATAGCTGTATGGGGAGAAAAGCAGATATGAGACAAAATGGGAACTGACTTTTCTGAGGGATCCCTCATGGGGTCCTTCAGAGGTCTGAGAATAACTTATTATATCTGAACAAATCCTATGTAGCCAAACAATTTGGTCTTTGTCTTGGCCCTTTAGGTTTTCAATTTTAACAAATACAGACAACAGCCAAAAGTTAAAAGACAAGAGAATTTAGTACCTAAGTCATTTCCTGTAAAGATCTGGCTTTAGGCTCCTACCTAGAGAAACATTAAAAATATAGATGCCTTACTTTATTGCAACTATTAAACTTTTTAGCCAAGATTCTTGTATGGGAAATATCTTACGCCTTTGTGACCTCCAAAAACAAAGAAATGTGGCGTTTTATGTAGGGTTGCCTAAGTATGCTTCTCACAGAGGGTCTTTCCTCAGGCTTCTTGCACAACATGGTTCTTATCAGTTCTGCCAGTTGTGGGCTATAGTCCTTTGGCATTGGTGGCAGCTGCAGGGAGAAACAACAGGACAAATATGACTCAATGTTGGATAGAAAAAAGTAAATAATCACCAACAGTTTCCAACATACATTTATAGCCACCCAGCTAACCTAAACAGGGTATCTGTCTGAGGCAGCAATGGCTAAGCTGTTTTGTATGGAATGACAAGTTTGAATATTTACAATGTCATAATTTTACATCTTATCTATAAATAGTTTAATAAGATAATGGGAAAAGATGGGCTGGTCATATGGTGAGGACAAGGGATGAAAAATGGAGAGCCACAGCATCCCCCGGTCCCTGTAGCAGGGGGAGCCTCGCTCTCACCCAGCTTTGATGCAAACCTTAATCATGAAATGCTGTGATATTAAGAGGGCTTGTTACAATGACACCCACATAATATATAATACTATTTTCTGCAATTCTCAATTTAGAAATAGACATAAGTTGTTGCAGATGATAGTTATTGTAGAACAAAAATAGGATCAAAGCAACAAGGTGGATTATTTTCAATGGCTTTCATTTAATATCTACTTAATATCAAACTTTTTTATGGACCAGACACCCTCCCAAAGTTCCATTGAATCTGCACTGTAGCTGAGTACCTGTTTTCAAAAAGCCATCCAAAAATATTTTTCTAAAGCCATTAAACCAGCCTTGCAAATTGATACTAAAAAGTATTATCAGTGCATTTTCCTTACTCTAAGCTCACCTTTCCCCTATGAGTTGAATAATGTTTTTTCTACTCATTCAATGTAAATTGATACTTACCCTGGACAAGTGGTTATTTGCAAAGTTGAGCTAAATAAATCTTGTTCCCAACACTAAATACAATCAGTTCAAGACTTGTTTTTACCTTTCCTTCAATAATTCGATAAACTAAAGAATTCATGTCTTTTGCATTGAAAGCGTGCTTCAGTGTAGCCATTTCATAAACACAGCATCCCAAAGCCCAAACATCAGACTGGAAAAATAAAAAAAAAAGTGTCAGCATGGTTACACCATATGCTTCTTAATTTTTGTAATAAAAGATAATTTTCCCTATACAAATTCAAATTTTATTCAATCTGGCTCTAAAAGTATGAACAATTAGAAGCAGGGTAAGTCGATAATGGTAGCCCTTCCCCACCTTATAGTTGTAGGGTTTGTTTGAGAATAATTCAGGACTCATGTAGTACGGTGTTCCGATAAGTGTACTAGCCATGTCATACTGATTTTCTAGCACTCGGGCAATCCCCAGATCGCCTACTTTGATGATGTTTGTTCTCGTTAAGAAGACATTCTGAGTTTTCAGATCGCGGTGAAGGATGTGTTTTTCATGCAAATACTGCGAGAGAGAAAGAAAACTTCATTAGTAGCACACAAAACCCAATTTCTTTTAGATCATTTCTCTGGAGTTCCTTGACTATAAAGACACAACAAAACTTTTCTTTGTAATTATTATTATATAAAAGGTTTAATGTAGACCCTTCAAAAGTAAGAAAATCAAATCCCATATACGTTTCCCTCAAAGTTTCCATAATTTCTAGCCATTTAGATTTAAGACATGACTTTTCTTTTCAGGTAAGAAAAGACAATGTAAAAGGTAACCTACAATGGTTTTTAAAAAGTTACCATTTTAGTATTACACAAACCCAGTGAAAACCATTCTATTCCTTCTCATCAAAGTCAGGAAATACAATTTGTATTGGGGTAGATTTATATTTCATGATAGCATCATACATTTAGAGATAAAAAGAAAACTGAGGAAATCATCTAGTTCATCTTTAATTTTACAAAGGAGACAAGAAAATAATTTTCCCAAGGCCACACAAGGTAAGCAGCAGAAATGCTAAGATCTATACGTGGGGCTTTTTCTAAGCCACCATGCTGTCTCTGTTCTTTTTGTTTTACAGATCAGGAAACTGGAGCACAAAGGTTAAGTTCTGTGCCTGGCTGACAGATAGCCAGTGTCAGAGCCGCAATCAGAATTACCTAGCATCCTAGTTTTTTAATTCTTGGCCCACAATTATTTGCATTAGACTCAAGGCAGTAGAGGGAAATAGAAAGATTAAGTTGGAGTCAGAAAGACCTGTGTTCCAATCCTGTGTCTGATACTTTCTGTGTGGCAACAGGCAAGTCACTTAACTTCTGAACCTCAGTTTTCTCATTCGTAAACTAGAGGCAATAATACCTAGAGGACCTCACAGCGTCGTTGAGAAGCTTAAACGAAAGTGCTTTGCAAATGTGAAAGAGCTCTATTCATGTAAGCCTCTAATTTTATCACATCATAATGTCCAAAATGAATTCTTTCTCACCAACAGGGCTGTCCCTATGCTGTCTCTGCTGTTCTCCTGTTTTCTATGAGCATTTTTTTTTTTTAGTCCTGCCACAGAAAGGCTGACTCTAGATGAGAGATGTGGGAATCCCCAAGGTCAGTCTACAAGCAGGGCCATAGGTTCACTTTTATCTACAGTGTCCTTGAAGATCTAGATGGGCCGGCCATTCAAAGAAAGTTTGCTCAGATCCAGAATCACACTTCCAGTTAGCTCACTTTCACATTTACATCTATTAAATATAAGCTTATTTTTCTATTTTTTGTTTTTGTTTGTGAGGCAATTGGGGTTAAGTGACTTGCCAAGAGTCACACAGCTAGTAAGTGTTATGTGTCTGAAGCTGGATTTGAAGTCAGGTCCTCCTGACTCCAGAGCTGGTGCTTAATTTTTCTATTCTTAAACTGCCCTCTCCATCTGCAGGAGGAAGCCCAGACTGTTATACTTTCATGTGTGTTAATTAGGACCCCCAACCTTGCTACTTTAAGACAAATCTTTTTTAGGGGAAGTGGATAACCGATAATGAATCTACTCATTATGTGGTCATAAAGACCCAGTCATTTTTATCAAAGGAAATTTTATTCCTAACATGAATAAAGAACTGTCTCTGAAATCTCTCCTTCATATGTGTCATTCTGTGACCTGAAGTTATGATTATAAACTTGTTTAGATATAAATACCACTGGGGTAGAATGTAAAAAAGTTTTCTATGGTAAAAGTGACACCTAATATATATGGCAATACTGAGAATTAAGTGCTAAAGTGCCCTTTATTTTAAAGGACAGAAATATTTCAACAATATAGTATACATATTTCCAATATAATAGATATTTCCCTACCTCCTTAAATGGACTACATTAAACATTAACAATCATTTCTTCATGCCTGATACTATCATTAGGAACACTGATTACTGCACCATGCATTGCTATCCAGAGGTCACACAAAATAGCCTACGACTGCTATTGTTTAAAGCATAAGCAGCAGTGGCAGGGTGCAGTGCACACTGGTCTGGAATTGACTCAGGCCCTCACTAGCTCTGGGATCTTGGGCAAATCACGTCACCTCTGCCTGCCTCAGTTTCCTCAACCATAAAATGGGGATAATAACACCACCCATTTCCCAGGGTGGTTGTAAGGATCAAATGAGAAAGTATTTTTAAGCACTTAGCCTAGTGCCCAGCACACTGCAGGTGCTCTGTAACTGCTAGCTGGTTTTATTTCATCTCTTCTTTTTGTAATTGTTAATCTCCTGTCTAGCTGTCACCTGCTATTTCTAGCTAATGTTCAGTATGCCTGTTGCTAACAGCCTTTCTCCACCACCTTTCTAAGTTTCTGCCTCTAATATGCTGGATGGAGGGAAATCAGATAACCAAGTGTACTAGAATTGTGTCTAAATTAAGAATCAGTAGGTTCTGAGGGAGGGCTTTCATAAAGAGCAGGAGGTTTAGGTCATGGGCTTTATCATATCTAGCCTTTAGCACACAAGGCAGTGTGCCTGCATGAGGCAGGCATTCAACAGGTGTTCCTTTCAACGAATTTTTTACTAAATTTCTGGTTCTTGACAGAGTTCCTATTAGCTGATGCTGCTGAACAGAAGCATCACACATGTTGCTGTATTTAGGAGGATAGCTCCCAAAGCAAGAATCAGGGAGTTCCCCTGTGTTTCCTTTGAAGTCAAGTACCCTGAGGGTTTAATAATCTGTGGCTCAGGAGGCGCTTTTTTTTTTTCAGAAAAGAATTTTAAAAGCTGTACTTTAACTGAAGGCTAAGCCAAGTGTTTATGCCATGATTATAAATATCCTTGTTTACAATATAAAACTTTAACTAGTCGTCCACGGATACTTGACAAAACTGCAATCCAGCTGAAAGCTTCCACAAAAAGCCACTTGAAATTCTAAGGTTATAAAGAAGGACCCAGAAGACGAGATGCCGCCACATTGATTGATACCTGCAGAGCCATAGCAATCTGAACAAACCACTCCACCACCTGGCTCTCAGGTAGAAGTCTGCCCTTCTGTTCTTTGAGTTTTCGATAGAGATCCCCTCCTTCACAGAAACCCATAACTATGTAGAGCAGGCCATCTCCTCCTTCCCAAGACTCTCGATAGGTAACAATATTGGGGTGCTTCAGCTGAGACAAAAGCTGGGCCTCTTGCTCGGCAGCTTTCCGCTCTCGGCTGGAGGCATTTCGGAGGTTTAGTTTTTTGATGACATACTGCAAAGAAAACATACGTTTACACATATGTATACATGTACATACACATGAACCAACCCACATGGACGTACTATTTCTAATCCTCATAAGTGATTGCAGGGTGCTAAAAGAGATTCCTATAGAACCTAGCTTCTAAAACAATTTCATTGTAAAAATAAACTACTCAGGGCAGCTAGGTGGCGCAGTGGATAAAGCACCGGCCCTGAAGTCAGGAGGACCTGAGTTCAAATGTGGCCTCAGACCAAACACTTGACACTTACTAGCTGTGTGGCCCTGGGCAAGTCACTTAACCCCAATTGTCTAAAAGCCAAATAAAATAAAATAAACTACTCGGTGCAACAAGGAGACTAATTCACATAGCCCAGGGGTGAGGAACCTGTGGCCTCGAGGCCACTATGAAGTTTGGATTCAGTCAAAGCCCTGTACTTGAAGACCTAGAGGGCCACATGTGGGGAAAATGTATATGTATTGTATAATGACGACAGTGAGAAAACAGTGGAGCTTCAAAAAGAAATTGCTAAAAAAGATTCCAACTTGACCTATCACCAGTTCCATTACAATGCATATACTGTTATTCTCCTTCATGAAAAGTGAACTTCTACCCAAGTCCTCTTCAGATGTCTTACAATAGTGTGGAGATCATGATCCTGGGTTTTTGGAAAGCAATGCCATTGGAAGACAAGCTCTGGCAAATCCTGCTGGAGGTGGAAAGGCTTGATGTTTGAGCCTTGTGACCATCTTCCTGTCTGCCATATGAGAACCAGTTTAAGTTTAGAGGAGCTCAAGAAAGGACTGGCCACTGTGGCAAGCTGAGCTCAAGGAAGGCTTAGTCACCAGAGCAAGAGTGTTTATACTTTGCCCATAGGACTCATGAAACTATGTACCAAGTTGCGGCGGTGGTTGTGATCTGTTAGTGGAGGGAAAACTGTGAAATCAGAAAACTCAGAATTCCCTAACCCTGGATATTTTCCATTTTAGTTTTCTAAAATGACAAATAATTGTTTATGACTACATATGAATCAGTCATGCTTTATCATCTTATATGAAGCAAGTGGTATTACCATACATTTGTAGAGCAATTACAGTTTAAAAATTTTTTTAAATTTATTTAATATTTTATTTTTCCCCAGTTACATGTAAAAACAATTTTTAACATTTGTTTTTAAAACTTTGAGTTCCAAATTCTCTCCCTTCCTTCCCCCTCCCCACATTGAGGAGGCAAGCAATTCGATATAGGTTATTAAACATGTGTAGTGATGTAAAACATATTTCCATATTAGTCATGTTGTGAAAGAAAACACAGACAAAAAAACCCTCAAGAAAGATAAAGAAAGTAAAAAGAATATACTTCAATCTATATTTGGACACCATCAGTTCTTTCTCTGGGGATGGACAGCATTTTTTATCATAAGTCCTTCAGAGTTGTCTTGGATCATTGTGTTGCTGAGAATAGTTGTTATTCACAGCTGATCATCTTACAATATTGCTATTACTTTGTACAAAGTACATTCCACTTTGCATCAGCTCATGTAAGTCTTTCCAAGTTTTTCTGAGAGCATACTGCTCATCATTTTTATATCACAAGAGTATTCCATTATAATTACATACCACAATCTGTTTAGCCATTCCCCAATTGATGGTCAAACTCAATTTCCAATTCTTTGCCACCAGAAAAGAGCCGCTATAAATTATTTTTTGTACATATAGGTCCTTTTCCTTTTTTGTTTTTTTATCTCTTTTGGGATACTGACCTAGTAGTGGTATTGCTAGGTCAAAGGATATGCATGGTTTTATAGCCCTTTGGGCATAGTTCCAAATTGCTCTACAGAATGGTTGAATCAGTTCACAACTCCACCAACAGTGCATTAATGTCTCATTTTTTCTCACATCCCCTCCAACATTTGTCATTTTCCTTTTCTATCCTATTAGCCAATCTAACAGGTCTGAGGTAGTATCTAAGAATTGTTTTAATTTGCATTTCTCCAATCAATAGAAAGTTAGAACATTTTTTCATATGGCTATACATAGCTTTGATTACTTCAACTGAAAACTATTCATATCTTTTGATCATTTATCAATTGGGAAATGGCTCTTATTTTTATAATTTTGACTCAGTTCTCTATATGTTTGAGGAATGAGGCCTTTATCAGAGAAACTTGCTTCAAAAATTTTTTCACAGTTACTTACTGCTGTTTTCCTCTCCATCCTATTCCCCTCCCCATTTATTCTATTCTTTCTCCTTTCACCCTGTCCCTCTTCAAAAGTGTTTTGCTTCTGACTACCCCTTTCCCTAACCTTCCCTCCCTTCTATCACCTCCTCCTGCCCCTCCTATTTTCCTGTAGGGTAAGACAAGATTTCTCTACATAACTGAGTGTGTATGTTATTCCCTCCTTGAGTCAATTCTGATGAGAGTAAGGTTCACCCATTCCTCTTTACCTCCTCCCTCTTCCCTTCCACTATAAAAGCTTCTTCTTGCCACTTTTATGGGAGGTAATTTACCCCACTCTACCGCTCCTTTTCCCTTTCTCCCAGTCCTCCCAGAGGACTTTCACCCCTTAATTTTATTTTTTAGCTATCAACCATCCCTTCATATTCAACTCACAACTGTGCCCTCTGTCTAGATATACTCCTTCTAACTGCCCTAATAATAAGAAAGTTCTTATGAGTTACAAGCATCACCTTCCTGTGTAGAACTGTAAACAGTTTAACCTTATTAAGTCCCTTATGATTTCCCTTTCCTGTTCACCTTTTCATGCTTCTCTTGAGTCTTGTATTTGAAAGTCAAATTTTCTATTCAACTCTGGTCTTATGATCAAGAATGCTTGAAAGTCCTCTATTTCACTGAATATCCTTTTTTTTTCCTCCTGAAGGATCCTTTGCCCTCTGGAATATCATATTCCAAGCCCTCTGATCCTTCAATGTAGAAGCTGCTTACTTTTGTGTTATACTGACTGTGACTCCATGATACTTGAACTGCTTCTTTTTGGCTGCTTGCAATATTTTCTCCTTGACCTAGGAACTCTGGAATTTGGCTATAATATTCCGGGCAGTTTTCATTCTGGGATCTCTGTCAGAGGTGATTGCTAGATTCTTTCAGTTCCTATTTTACCCTCTGGTCCTAGAATAACAGGGCAATTTTCCTTGATAATTTCTTGAAATACGATGTCTCTTTTTGATCATGGCTTTCAGGTAGTCTAATAATTTTAAAATTATCTCTCCTGGATCTATTTTCCAAGTCAGCTATTTTGCCAACGAGATATTTCATAATGTCTTCAATTTTTTCATTTTTTTGGTTTTGTTTTATTGTTTCTTGATTTCTCATAAAGTCATTAGCTTCCATTTGCTCCATTCTAATTTTTAAGGAATTCTTTTCTTTTTTAAATTAATTTACTTTGATTTATCAACAATCACTTCCATAAGCTGTTGAGTTTTAAATTTTTCTCCCTCTCCCTCCCCACCTCCCTTCCCACAATGGTGCACAATCTGATATAGGCTATACATATATATACATAAGGAATTATTTTCTTTAGTGAGCTTTTGTACTTCCTTTTCCATTTGGCCAGTTCTACTTTTTAAGACATTCTTCTCCTCATTGGTTTTTTGGACTTTTTTTGCCATTTGGCCTAGTCTGTTTTTTAAAATATTATTTTCTTCAGTATTTTTTTTGTGTCTCCTTTACCAAGTTGCCTCATTTTTCATAATTTTTTTGCATCGCTCTCATTTCTCTTCCCAATTTTTCCTCTACCTCTCTTACTTGATTTTCAAAATCCTTTTTGAGCTCTTCCATTGCTTGGGAGACTAATTCATTTTTTTCTTGGAGGCTTTAGATGGAGGAGCTTTGATTTTGTTGTCTTCTTCTGAGTGCGTGTTTTGATCTTCCTTGTCACCATAGTAACTTTCTATGGTCAGAATTTTTTTTCTGTGGTTTGTTCATTTTCCCAGCCTATTTCTTAACTTTTAACTCTTTGTTAAAAGTTGGGCTCTGCTTCCAGGGTGGAGGGCACACTGTCCCAAGCTTTGTGGGTTTTGTGCAGCTGTTTTCAGAGATACTTCTAGGGAACTGCAAGTTTTCAGTTCCTCCAAGGTGGTATGATCTAAGGAGAGGTGTTTACTACTCTCCTGGCCTGTGCTCTGGTTTGTGAGATACTGCAGAGCACTCTTTTCTGTCCTGGAACTGTGAGGAGGGTGTCCATTTCACTGCTGCCACAAGCTCAATGCTAGTGCTCCTCCTCACCCTGGACTGCAACTCAGATCCGAGTATGGGCAAAGCAACAGAGTCTTGCCCCCAGTGCCAGCAAAGAGACCCCTGTAATCTCCTTCTGACCAGTTGTTCAACCCCCTTACCATCTGTCCACTGAGAGCTCAGGAAGCAGCTGCTGCTGCTGCTGATTCAATGGCTTCCAAGGCCTACTTCCCGGTTTACTGGGGCTAGGGCTGTGCTGGCATGACGCGCACTAGACTGTGCTCCATTCTCACCTAAGTGCAATAGACCTTTCCTGCTGACCTTTAAGTTGTCTTTGGCTGAAAAATTATTTCACCCTGAACTTTTGTGGGCTCGGTTGCTCCAGGAATTGTTCTATGGCATTATTTAAAGGTGTTCAGATTCTAGGTAGAGTTCAGGCAAGTTGATGCTTTTTCTTCATCATCTTGGCTCTGCCCTCTCAATTACAGTTTTAAAAGCCCTTCTTCATCTAATCCATTTAAAAATACTGTTTATTTTGAACTTATCACCAAAAATGAGTATTTTCAATGCAAGAATGCAAGATACATAAAATATATAAAAGTATGAAATTTTCATTTCTCTTGATTTTTTTTAAAAAGTACATAATAAATACAACCCATCACTTTCAAAACTGTCCTGCTTGTTTGTACTTTTTTCTGAACTTCTTTCTGTACTCCTGTAATGCATTCTTTTTTTTTTTTTGGAATCTCCACCAATTCTCCCAACTTGGCTTCTGTCCTTTCCTTCATTACCATCCTCTACCCAACTGTCCCCAGCCAGAGCCCCCATTCCACATCCTTCACCCCTGCTGTCATCTTTGACCCTTCTGTTGATTTTCATTCTGGATTCCCTTCCTCCTACCCCTCACACATTCCAGAAGACTAATACTAATAAAGATAATAACTGGTAACAGCACTTTAAGGTTTGTAAAGCACTTTACATCTATCATCTCATGTGATACTCACAACAACAACAGAAGGTAAGTGCTATTACAGATAAAGTAAATGAGGTTGAGATAAGTGACTTGCCCAGGGTCACACAACTAGTAAGTGTCAGAGGCCAGATTGGGAATTCAGGTTTCCTGACTCCAAGTCTACCACTCTTGAGCCCCTAACCCCTGGCCCCTTACAATGACTCTACTAGGCGCAATACCCCCAGCCCAGCCCCTTATGCTCATCTTTGCAAATCCTTCATTCCTGGCCCAGCTTCTCCGGGGCTCCCTGCTCCTAGTCCAATCCAAGCCAACATGCATTTAATAAGGCCTATTACGTGCAAGAAACTGGGCGCACAAAAAACCCAAACAAAACAGAGGCAAAACATTCCCTGCACTCTTTCACTCTACATTAAATGGGGATACACATGCGTGATAATTTGAGGAACGGGGAGGAAACACTAACACCCCCAAGGGGTCTGTCCCCAGGAGAAGGACCAGGACCCTGCTCCCCTCCCCTTCCCCTCCTGCCTCCTCTTTCTACCTTCTTCGCTCCCCCCCACCTCCTCTCCGTTTCCCCTCCCCCTCCCCCTTCCATCCTTTCCCCCTCCCCTTCCTCCTCCCCACCTGGCTCCCCCCACCCCACGCGGGTCACCTGCTTGCCGTCCTGCCGGTGCCGGACAAGCGTCACCTCCCCGTAGGTGCCCTTGCCCACGGCCCGCAGGAAGCAGTAGGCAGCCAGGGGCATGGTCTCCGCGGGCGGCGGCGGCGGCGGCGGCGGCTGGGGCCGAGGCGCTGCTCATTCCCCGGCAGGAGCAGCGGGAAGCCTAGAAGCTCATTCACAGGGCGGCGGAGGCGGCTAGGCCTAACTGGAGGCCCGCGGCCGACGCCGCTGCCATAGCGATCCCTACCCCGCCACTGCGCATGCCCCGGAGGACCAGCCATCGAGAACACTCGGCCGTTCTTTCCCACCGGTGGCCAGAGCGTCTCCTGGGCTCGTTGGCTCTAGTGTTGCCGGGCACCGCTCCTCTCCCCCGGGAAGAACCTGATTCTAACCGAGACGGAGGGGACAATGGGGGCGGGGCAGGGGAGCAGCTAAGTCTCCAGACCCTGCGGGGGGCCCATTCCCCATGGATTCCCTCTCATCTCCATCACCTACCTTCTACAGGAAGCCTTTCCCAAAGTACCTTAATACCGTGGATCATCTCCATTTTATGCTGGCCATAGTTTGTTAGTCCATAGTTGTCCTCATGTTGGCTCCTTTAGACTGTAAGCTTCTTGAGGGCAGACACTGTCTTTTTGCCTTTCCTCATATCACTAGTGCTTAGCCTGGCACCTACTAAAGTGTCCTTTTCCCTCTCTTCCACTTCTGCCTCCCAACCACTAGTGCCTTTCCCTTGTTAGGTCATTTTGTGTTTGTTTTATGTATGTTTTGTTTAAACATACCTACATATATGTGTGTAACATACACATCCTCTCCCGAATCCCATTAGACTACAAGCCACTTGAGGGCAGGGACTATTTTACTTTTGTCTTTGTATCTCCAGAGGCCGCTGCAGTGTCTGGTTAAATGAATGCTTGAAAATAATCCCAAAGGTTAAAACTCTACATGACTGATTTCAGTCCAGGAGGCACAGGAGAACTGTCAAGGATGAAATGCTGAAAGCACAAAGAGAAACAGTTCTGAGGAGGAGGAAAAAGGGGGAGTTGTCTGAAGAGACTGTGTGGAAATAAAAGGGAACTCGCTGCATGATTTAGATTTTTTTTTTTTAACAAAAAGTTATGTACAGAAGAGGCAAGCAAGGGAAGGTAGCAGGGTGGATACAGAAGTATGGCAGTGCAGTAAAACTAGTGTCAGGGATTGCTCAAACTCAGAGACTGTCCCTGTGAGGAGAAGTTAGAGGGGAAAGGGCCAGGTTGCTGTTCTACCTTATGGCTTTGTCTCTTGCTAGATCCTCTTGGTGGTAGAATTCATCTTGATCCAAGAACCCTGCCATCTCTCTCCTTGGGAGTGGGTCCAGGACCTCTCACCCTTCCACCACTGCCTTCAGTTGCTGCCATTTCGCAGACCAAGAGATGGGCCTCTCCTGGAGCAACATTAACCCCCCTCCAGAAACTATTTTATGCTAGTGCTTTGCTAATATACTGCTGCCTCTCTGTGGCTGCTGTCTCTAGGACTGAGACACTCTGCATCTCCATACTTTTCATCTCCCTGGAAAAGTTTGTGCAGTCAATCTGAGTCCACCTTCTGAACTAGTCCCCTTTCTTTCAGTTCTGATCTTTGACTAAGCTCTCTGAATCTTTCCTTTCCCTCCCCCAACAAAGATCTTATCCTTTGACTTTGCTTGTTAACACTGGCATTGCACGCAGAGGATCTGAGTTCAAATACTGCTTCTGCTATTTATTTTTAACCACATGAGACCTCAGTTACCTCATTTGTAAAATGAAGGGGTTGGATTGGTTGATATGTAAGGACTTTTCCAGCTCTGTCCATGACCCTATGATATTTTCCTCTACATCTATAACATTTTGATACTGAATCCTCTATGAGAGCCATTGAAGCCACCATTTGGTCTAAATTGACCAACATTAGAATTCTAGATTCTCAGAATCAGGAGGGATTTCAGCAGTCTAATCCTTATCTGAAGCAGACATCCCTTTAAGACCAGTCCCAACATTTCTTCATTGAATTAAGTTGTTTTTTGTTTTTGATTGCTCAGATCTACAACTGTTTGGTTGCCATTGTGACATAGCCTTAACGAACCCTCTGCAATATACTTTTCCAGTCTTAGTTCATACTCTTCATGTATTTTACAGCCTAAAATCCAGCCAAAGTAGACTACCCTCAGTCCTCCATTATGCCCTCTTCTGTGTGTCTTTGCTCACACTGTCTACCCGAAATCTTTGTTTTCTGGGTCCAGCTCAGATTCTATGTCTTTCCATGAATGAAAATTGAAAGCAATCTTTCCTTCTTCAGATTTCTCATTACCTGAACTCCTGTCTTTACTTACCTCACTCTTATGTCATAATTATCTGTCCATCTCCAGCTCCTATTAGCTGTAAGGTTTGTTGAAAAGTCATCCCATATTACTTTTGAAGGTAGGCACTATAAAGATAATTGCTTGCTCATTGACCCAGTGCTAACTTTTAGCATTCATGTATCCAGGGGTGCTTGGATTTACTCAAAGCCATTTTAACTTGCTTCAAATGCCTATTTCTCTTCCTCATAGGAGATAAATGGGAGAGTGAATTCAGGATCACAGGACTACTCCCTGAAATGTAATTAATCCCTTATTACTAGTTTTAGAAACTAAGCTAAACGCAGAATTCTCTGTCAGTGGCCCTGTGTCTCACAAAAAATGGTTGCTCTCCTTAGAATCATCTTGAAATTTTTACTGTCTTGCAAAAAACAAAAACAACAACAACAAAAACTGAGTAGAAGGACAAAAGAATCAAAGACACTTTTAAAAATCTTAAAATAAATTTGAATCAATTATTTTGACACTACCTACATTTCCCAGTGTATCCTTCTTCTCCCCTCCTCCGCCCCGACCATCTCTCATAATGAAGAATAAAAATGAGAGTGGAAAATCTCAGCAAAACTAACCAATAATCAAAAAGTCTGATATTGTATACAGTGTTTTACACTCATAGTCTCCCACTTTAAGAAAGAGAGCTATCTTCCCATATCTCTTCTTTAGGGCCAAACTTGATCATTATAATTCCACAGCATTAAGTTTCAACAGACATTTTTATATACAAAATTTTTTTTAAAACTCCATTCAGCACATGTAGGACACCTAGTTTGGCCAGCCAAACTACTCTCTCTCTCTCTCTCTCTCTCTCTCTCTCTCTCTCTCTCTCTCTCTCTCTCTCTCTCTCTCTCTCTCTCTCTCTCTCTCCTTTGTCCCCTGAATCCTGGCTCCTGGGAGGCCTCACCATATTGGTGACAGACTGTGTGGTCATCTGATTGGCATTCATCCTGCTGCAGCTCAGAACTCCTAAACTCAAGTGATCTACCAGCTTCTGACTCTCCAGCAGCAGGAATTGTGTGCCCCCATGCCTGGTCATTACAAGCTATTTTGATGAATCACATTGGAAATTTTTATACCCTAGAAAAAGAATCTGGGTAAGGCATTAATCATTTTATCAATCAAAAACATTTATCAAGTGCTTATTATAGATCAATAAACATTTATTAAGCAGCTATTATGTACCAGGCACTGTACTAATACTAAGTACTGTGCTAAATATTGGAGATGCAGAGCTCGCAAGGAACTCAATGCAATACTTGGGAGTTGGGACTAAATTCAAGCAAGCCATATCAGCCCTAGCACACTGACACACTCAAACTAGTAGTTCAAGTCTTAGCAGGCCATCTAGTGGCTTGTGCAGGTTTTGCACCCTGAGTGACTGTACCAGCCCTGCTGCTGAAGATAGGTGGTACGGTACTACTGTTGCCCTTTACATACCTGTCTTTTTCTCTCTGTCCAAGCAGAGCAAGTGCCATTGTTGAAAGGAGAAACCTTTGGGCTACATAGTCACTCAACAAACATTTATAAAACATATCCTCTATATGACACCCTGAGCTAGAGAAGGTAACAGAAATTACATGAAAAATGCACAACCTTATTGGTAATAGAAGAAATGCAATTTAAACCACCCTTGAAGTACCATTACTCACATATTAGCAAAACTCAGTGTTATCAAGCTAGTGGGTATACAGGTTCATTTATTCGTGGTTGGTGTCACAAGTTGGCAACATTTAGCAAGGGCTATAGAACTGTTCTTGCTAAAAGATTTTTTTAGGGAAAGGAGGAATCTTTGATCACCTATTGGGAATATAACCCAAAGAAATATGCTAAAAGAAAAGTAATTTGTACCAAAGATGTTCTTAGAAGCTCTATTTATAATAGGAAAACTTAAATGGCAATGATTCCAAAGCAAAGGATGATACATTGACGTGGAATAATATAGAGCTATTAAAAATTCAAATTATATGGACCATGTTGAAAAAAGTAGGGCTTGAGATAGATTAAATATAGTACTATGACAATTGAGTAAAAGTATCAATATGTACATTAACCAAGATTAGGAGAAATTTAGGAGAGATATAAATAGTTTAATGTTTTATTAGGATCTTTTCCCTTAATTGCATATCTCTCTATCTATCTATCTATCTATCTATCTATCTATCTATCTATCTATCTATCTGTATATGTATGTATATATAAAATCTCTCTCTGTCTACTCCTTTCCATACCTGTTGCCCAGGTTCTTGTTTTCTTGCCTGGACCATTGTAATGCCCTTCTAAGTGGCTTCGCTATTGCTAGTCTCTCCCCTTCCAAACCATCCTTCTAGAGTAATTTTCCTAATGCACTGCTCGGATTATGATATCTCAGAAACCTTCTTCATTTGCTCCCCATTACCTGAGTAGATGGACAAAGGAATCAAAGACACTTTAAAAAAATCTTAAAATAAAGGCTCTATATGATTTAGCCACAACCCATTATCTTCAGTGTCATTTTCTGTTGCTCCCTTACATCTATCCTACTTTCTGGCCAAATTGGACCTACTCACTCTTTCCTGAACATATTCTATGCTTTCACCTATTCGTCTTAGCTCATCATTTTTCTTCTGCTTTGAAATACCTTTTTTTGAGTCCCCTAGTCTCTCAGGTTGGGATTATTGCCTCCTTGGTTTCAGCCACTATAAATCTATTAACATCTATTAACAGCCCAAAAAACTTTAATTTTTTTTTTTTAGTAACTGTTAGCTCAAATTGAACTAGTAGTAAAATAAAAAATCCCAAGTCTTTTTCATATGAGCTGCCATTAATCTAGGTCTTCTGAACTTGTTCAGTTGATTTTTTAAAAAAACCTAAATGTAGGATTTTCATTATTGTAATAGAGGAGTTTTTTAAGTCAAC